AGGACCGGCGACTTCAGATCATCTCTGGCTTCTGGGGTCTGTCCCTGTTGGTTCTGTGGTTTGAAATGTAGGGTAGACAGAGGTCTGTTCCTGAGAAGACGCCTGAGGAAACTGTGCCCAGGCCCAGTGGAAACTCTTGTCCGTCCAAGGCTCATTTGGAGCCTTGGCTCCTGCAGGTCTGGATCAGACATGCGATCGTGGTCTCGGTTTTGCAGCAGCGTCTGGAGTCACCAGTCTGCGAGCTGCTGATGCTGAGGTCTCGGGCTCATGCCCGATGGACCCGCCATAGGAGACTCACTGCCAGAGCCCCAGCCACCTCTCAGCATGGCTGTTGGTCTTGAAGACAGACCCGGAGAGTGTGGCTGGGGCAGGGCAGGCCCTTGAGCAGGAAAAGCCTGTCTCCTTGGGAGAGGCTGGGACTTGAACGTTACTTCTGTGTGTGGAAAGGCAGCATTGAACTAAGAGAAGGAATCGTAGCTTCTCTGCCTGGTCCTGTTCTTGTCCTTCACTAGGAGCAGTTTGGCATCAGGTGCCCGCCGCGGGGAAAAGGCTGGCCGGGTCTCAGGTCAGACATAGTCGTCCTAGTGCATAGGGGATCGGGCATGTGCTTCGGCTGGCTCCAGGCCCCTGCACTCATGCCCTGTGTCCGTGTGATCTTGCCTTTGTGCTAGAACCCGTGGGTTTCCAAGAAAGTGAAAGGACGGTCTTTTGTGAGAAAGGGGTTCCTTCCTGTGGGGTATGGGCATCTTTGCCTGGAGCTCAGGAAGACCTTTGGCACCTGGCACAAAGGCCTGAACACAATAGGTGCTTGGGAAACCGTGCCACCTTTCCCTTCACCCGGGTGAGCCTTTGCGGTGCCGATTAAGGTTCGGTTGACAACACAGTCAGTCACACCAGCCTGTGGCCACCCCTGGGAAAGGGACTGAGTGCTGAGACTGGTTCAGGAAAAGGGGTCCGGCCCGGTGGGAGGTGAGTCATCTGCAGGGATATTGGGGGTGCTTGCTGGGTGTATTCCACCGAACCAACCAGAGGAGTGAGGGGGCAGCATGATGCTTGAGGAGTGACCATCCTAAGCGTTATCACACGAGACCATACGTGTGCTCTCACGCACACCTGGCTGCCCGTGTTCTGTATGGCACGCCCGTGTCCTGTGTGGCACATCCGTGCAGTGTCTGAGCCCCCGAGACTAGAAACAAACAGACACGCTCCTGTCCGTCCTAGGTCGGACGGAGTGCGCCCCGCAGGAGCCGCTCAGCCTGGCAGGGCGCTGGCCCGCCTCCCTATCAGGGACGGCCACCCTCATTTGAGCACCTTTCTAATGACTTCACTGGAAACCCACGATAATCAGTTTTCCTAAAACCCCAGGCAGTGCCCTCACATGCCTGTGGTTAACTAGGCAGGATGAGGTAATGAGAGCCAGAGAAAGCCTGGGTCTAAGCGGAAAGGTCTGTCACGGCGGCTAAGACACGGCTGTGCTCTCTCTTTGGTGCAAGTAATGTATTTGGTCCTGACCCGGGTGTATGCCCTGCTTTGGGGGAAATGAGGTGACACGAGGCCATAACCCTGTGACTGAGACGGCCGTGTGGGACTCAGGGTCCATCCCTCTCTGGCCAAGGCTGGGGGACGCCTGGCCCTGCACAGGGGCCCGGTCCACACTGCTTCCCGGGAAGGGGACGCCCAGCCTCTCAGAGGTGCGGCAGGATCCCACCTCCCGGAGAAGCCCCGGGTTGTTTTCCCCTGGTCCTGCTTGCACCGCCCAGAGGGGGTCAGCGTGGGGTTCAGTCATTGGACAATTAGCCTGTAACTAGCACCTGCCCTGCCTCGGTTTCTCCTTTATTTCAGGAGAGCGCCTCTCTGAAGCGCCATGGGAAAGAGGACATTGGGTGGCAGTCTTCTCACTGGGCTTTCTCATTTGGGGCAGGACGCACAGCAGAAGGAGGGAGACACAGATGTGGGGAACGGACGATTATGTTTTACCCCAGCCCTGCTGCTTATTAGCTCTGTGGCCTTGAGCAGGTCACTTGACCTCTCAGAGCATCTGGAACAAAGAACGGATGCCTGGGATTCTGCAGATTAAATGAGAATAGTGCTCATAAAGTATTGGGCACAGTACCCATTATCTGACAAACAGGCAGAAAGCCCCGAGGCTGTTATAATTTCACACACAGATTAGGTAGGCCAGGACTGTGCTGTGAGGCTGGGGGTTCAGTGGGGACCCACAGTCCTGGCACTGCCATCCCTGAGCTTACAGGGACGTCTGGCCCAGGGGCGCATATGTAGATTTGGGAGCCGTCAGTGTTTGGCTAGAAATTAAAGCCATGGCACAGAAGTGGCCACCAAGGAAGAATAAATAGAGCCCAGGCATAGAGCCTGTGATGTCAGGGTGCCTCTCAGACAACCAGGGGATCGTCCGTCCAGGAGACCGTCTGTCCAGCTCACTGACAGCAGCTCACACCTCCAAGAGCCTTTCTTGTAAAAGCCATTGCGGGCAGCATTCATCCTGAGTCTCAGCCTGCCTCTGCCCCCACCTGTCCCCACCACCCACCACCCACCTGCAGGCAGAATAAAGGATGTGATCTGAGATGGGAATGATTCCTGGGGACACTTGATGTCCTGCGGTCTCCTGCTAGCACATCCCCTGCAGGTGAACCCCCTTAGCCTCAGACATTCCTGCAACAATCACCCCACTTTCCTCAATAGGGGCATCATTCCATTCGGAGCCTTCCTGCCCGGCATGTTTTTGATGAGCTGTGCAGCCCTGCAGGCCCCGGCCCGCCCCGGGAGCTCTGTCTGTGGTCGGTGGTGCCTGCAGGAGTGGGTGAGCTCATCCCTTCCTTAAGCTGAGACACAGGCCCCGCGGGAGGGAGAGCCAGGAGGCTCCTCGTGCTCCTGACCCTGGGCAGGACTGCTGGCCGAGGATTCCCCTGCCCGCCAGCCCCATCTTCTTTCGAGCAATGACTCTGCCCAGGAAAATCTGAGCTCAAGCATGGAATCGACAAGGTTGTAATTATCGAGGACATCTTGTTACAGCTCAGGACAGGGACACCCAGGGCTGCTACAGGGCTTCTGGGGCTTCTCGTATTCCCGGCTTCAAAAAACAAACACTGCGCCGGGGCTTTGCCCAGCGTTGCGGTTATGGCAGGAGTCTGTGGCTCTGCATGCGCTGGGAGCGGCTTCGGAAAGAACATCTGCAGGCCGTTTGTGGCCCAGAGAACTGTGAGCCCGGCTGGGCCTGGGGCCTGGATGGCAGGAGAGGGCAGAGAAGCTGAGATTGCGTTTCACTCTGTTCTGCCCGGGACCAAGAAGGTCCTCTGAGAGCAATCTATGGTTTTGGGGACGGCAGACAGACGCGCACAGGGGTTAGGGCTCGGAGAAGGGACCCTGTGCACCTGGGTCATCGCTGCGGCCTGGCATAATCGGGTGCACTGCTTCATGCCTCTGAGCTCCGTCCTGTCTGGGGAGTAGGTGGAGAAGATGTGCGGGGCTGCTCCATGCCACCAGCTGAGCTGGGAAAGATGCAGTTGTAAAATAGCATCCTGTTCATCCTGCACCCACCCAGCAGCCCATTCTGCTGGCTCTCCTCTCCTCCTCTCCCCCAACCTCCGACAAAAATCTCCAGGGATTCCAGGGCTTTTCTGGCGCCTTTAGGTATTGGAAGAGAAGCCTTTGGAAAGGCAGGTCCATCCCAATATCAGAGCCTCAGTGTCCATCCAGGTCATATCTTTCTTTTCACCCACCTCCGGCCTGATGCTGGAATTGGAGGTGAGTGGAGGGGACCAGGGACAGAGGTTGTCCTGGGCTTTCCTTCCTCCCCCTACCACACCTGTAGCTGCTGCTGGCTCCCCCAGGTGGCTGACGGAAGCACAGAGGCGGGGGCAGGAGAGAAGGGAGAAGGGGTTTTTATGCGCTGGGCTGGTGTGGTTCCCTGTGGTCATCAGATGCCCTTGTTATAACAGCTGTGCCCGTGCTCCACCCACCACTCCTGTGGGAACCTCCTGTGGTTTCTGCACAGTCCCGTCTGTCCTGCCCGCTGGGCGCCTCCTCCTGCGGTTTGCCCACAGGGGCAGCACTCTCTGGCTGAGCGTGGACTGCGCTCAGCTCTGGCTCCGGTTGCCTTCTTTCTGTGGCAGGACTTACCTATCCTTGTTCCCCCGAACTTTGGGGTGTTTGCTCTGATTGCTCTGCCCCGGTGGCACTGACGGATTTGAGGGGGATTGAACCCCTCTGTGCCCATGGGAAGATGGGATGCAGCAAGAGGAACTATGCACAAGGTAACCCATCAAGGGACCCACAGAGGGACCGCAGCATTTCTCTGAGTGCTAAGCCGAAGGAGGACTCGTTCCAGCTGGGATGTGGAAGACTTTAGGGAGAAGTTATTTTTATTGGAAATTGTGAACTTTCGCTGGTCTGTAGGCAGAAATGGTGAACGGGACACTGGCCTAGAACCTTAGCACAGGCGTGGCCCTCGCTGGCCATAGTCCCCAGGACAGCATGCTCCATCCCTCCGTCTACACGTCCTTCTCTGCGCAGGACAGAGCGCTGACAAGCATGGACTCGAGCCAGACTGCCTGGCTTCAAACTCTGCCGCTCTTGGCTGTTTGCCTGTGGGCAAATCATATAAGGTAGCTAACTGTGCCGTGGTTTCCCTGTCTGTAAAATGGGGGTGATAATAGTAAATCCCAAGAAGTGTTGTTGTGAAGATGACGTGGTAAGTGTGGAACACTTAAAATGGTGCCTGGCACAGCACGCGCTCTCTGGGCCGCCATGAGATTGGCATCATCCATGGGGAGGACAGCATTAGGGTTGTTGAAAAGATTAGGGACTAGGGGACCAAACCCTGGCACACAGTGGGCCCTCAACACAAGACAGTTCTTCTCCTTGTCATTATTAAAATGCAGGTGAGAACAGAATTAGACGTGCAGAGAAGGGCCTCCCAGCAGCGAGGACAGTGCAAGGGAAGCAAAGACAGCAGGCAGGCATGTGCAGTGTGTGAGGATGGAACAAAAGGTGATGTAGCCAGAACCTCAGTAGATGCCGGACAAAAGTTTTCTGCTGGTTTTCCCGCTGCCTGTGGACACTCAGGGTCCATTTTAAAAGGCCAGTTTCCATCAGCAAATCTCCTTGGCTGTCTTCCTTTTCTCTGCCTACAGGCCTGCTGGAGGATCTGCGCCTCGTCTCTCCAAGGATGGGGACCTTCTGCTCCCTCCTGGGGCTCCTGTTGGGCTCGGTGCTCCTGGTGGCCTCGGCGCCGGCCCCTCTTGAGTCTCACAGCTGTAGTGACAAGGAGCAACAGCTGACTGTCAGCCACACCTACAAGATCGACGTGCCCAAGTCTGCCCTGGTCCAGGTGGAGGCTGACCCTCAGCCCCTCGGCGACGAAGGGGCCTCGCTGCTGGCCCTGGGAGAGGCCGAGGAGCAGAATATCATCTTCAGACACAATATCCGCCTGCAGACACCGCAGAGGGACTGCGAGCTGGCAGGCCTTGTCCAGGACCTCCTGGCTCGGGTGCAGAAGCTGGAGGGCGAGATGGCGGAGGTGAAGGAGCGGTGTGATGTCCAGCGTTGCTGCCAGGGAGCTGCCGGTGAGCCCTCTCCTGGTATTCATTCAACAAACCCTTGGTGAGCACCTTCTCGGTGCAGGCGTTCCCCAGCCTCGTGAGCACGGTTCATCCCTGCCCCTCACTCTGGGTTTCCCCGGGGAACCTCATCGCTGGCACTAGCTCCAGGGGCATCTGCCAGCGGAGCAGAGAGGCACGTGAGTGAATCTGAACTCCTGGCTAAGGCTTCCCCATGAGAAGGCTGCTGGGTGCTGTTTAGCCAATGGGCCAGTCTCTTCTCTGGGGAATGCAGTGGAGCTGAGAGGGCCTACGGTTCTCAGAGCAAGAGCCCTGCTGGTCTGCTCTTTGGGGCCTCCAGGGAAGGAGGCCCTCACCCCTCTTTCCTCTCCTCTCACCCCCCCTTTCCTTCCCTGGCAGGTCAGGGCCCCCAGTGCAGCGGCCACGGGACCTTCTCGCAGGAGACCTGCGGCTGCCGCTGCGAGCAGGGCTGGGAGGGCGCCGCCTGCGAGGTGCCCTCCTGCCCTGGCGCCTGCAGCGGCCACGGGCGCTGCGAGGACGGCCGCTGCGTGTGCGATGAGCCCTACGTGGGGGCGGACTGCGCCCACCCCGCCTGCCCCGGGAACTGCAGCGGGCAGGGCGTGTGCGTGCGCGGGCGGTGCCAGTGCCACGCGGACTTCACGTCGGAGGACTGCAGCGAGCGGCGCTGCCCCGGCGACTGCAGTGGCCACGGCTTCTGCGACACGGGCGAGTGCTACTGCGAGGAGGGCTTCACCGGCCTGGACTGCTCGCAGGGTGAGAGCACCGCCGGCTGTCATTTAACACCTTTTAAAAATTACCTTTATTTAAATTTTATTTTATTGTTTAAAGTATTACAAATATTAGTACATATGTCTTCTTTTCCCCCCATTGACACCCCTCCCCCCCCAGGGTCTCGTGCCCATTGGTTATGCTGATACCCATGCGGACAAGTCCTGCCGTTGATCTCTTTGTCCTCTGCAGGGGCTCCGCCTCTAGCCCACCTCAGATTTGCCTGGGGGGCTTGTTCAAGCACAGATGGTTGGGTCTTAGAATTGGCGTGTTTTAAAAAAAAAAATTTTTTTTTTATTGGTTTAAAGGAGGAAGGGAGAAGGAGAGAGAGAGAAAAAACAGCAATGATGAGAGAGAATTATTGATCAGCTACTTCTGCATGCCCCCTGCTGGGGATGGAGCCCATAACCCAGGCATGTGCTCTTGAACTCGAATTTACGTAACCGTGACCTCCTGGTTCATAGGTAGATGCTCAACCTATGTTGAACCACACCAGCTGGGCCTGGGAATTTGCATGTTGTAACAGGTGATGTTAATGCTGATGCTAGTTTGAGGACCATTGGTCTTAGGTGATCTAATGGCTGTGTGTGTGTGTGTGTGTGTGTGTGTGTGTCTGTGTGTGTGTGTCGGTGGTCCATCAGATGTATGTTCCACACCCACACCTGTTATGACAGTGGAAGCATCATACTATCATAACCAGTATGATGGATGTGCAACCAGTGCTCACTGTGTTCCGCCCCTCTTTCCTCACCTTCTCCTGTTCCCGCTCCCCACGCAGTGGTCGCCCCCCAGGGCCTGCAGCTGCTCAAGAGCACGGAGGAGTCGCTGCTGGTGAGCTGGGAGCCCTCCAGCGAGGTGGACCACTACCTCCTCAGCTACCACCCCCTGGGCAGGGAGCCCTCCAGGAAGCAGATACAGGTGCCCAAGGAGCAAAACAGCTATGACATCCTTGGTTTGCTGCCTGGAACCAAGTACATAGTCACCCTGCACAACGTGAAGAAAGGGGTGCTCAGCAACCCCCAGCACCTGCTGGCCACCACAGGTGAGGGACAGCCTGGGCCCAGGTTGCCCAGGAGAGAGGTGCTGTTTCGAATGTTTTCCTGCATTGGTCCCTGCCAGTCCCCTTCCACCCTGTTCCCTGGATTTGGGGCTGAAACACAGCTGCTGAAGTTCTAGGTTCTGGAGGAAGTCTCAGTTCTGGCCCCTGCATTCTACTCACAAAGTATTGGTCCTCCTGGCTGGTGACAGAGCCTGCTGGATTGTGGAACCCAAGGGGTCTTCTCCCCCTGATTGCCTTGCACCCCCACACGAGCAGCCACATACCTGCATCCCCAGGTCCTACAAGTGAGGATCTTCGGAGCCACCTGTTAGATTTCCCTCAGCGGGAAAGAAGGGGAAGAAATAGGTCATTGATGAAAGTGTAATGAAAGGTTATTTACAGAGGTGTGGGTGGGGTTTGGGTGGTCTAACACCCGAGGGCCAGCATCAGGGGGGATGCACCCCAGGCTGAAGGGGCAGGAGGTGGGAGTTGGTACTGGGACCCAGAGAGAGCGGGGAGAGGCTGCCCGATGAGTTGCTTTAGGTAAAGGGAGGCAGGCAGGCCCTGTGTCCCCTGGAAGGGATGAAGGAGGCCTCTCCAGCCCCCTGGTCTTCTGGTGACTCTCACTGGTGGAACCCAACCAGGAGCCAGAGGATAAGGGAACCTGGCTAACACAGGTCATAGAGCCATAATCTGGGATACAGAGCAGGATGGGGGTGGTCTGGAGGGACAAACCATCAAATCGCCAGGGCACCAGCAAATGCTACCAAAATGTTTGCAAGGATCAGCACCGCTACTTACTCTTTAGCAATTCTCATGAAAGGTCTTAAAGCTGCTTAGACATCCAGGGGCTTGGAGGAACCCTGTTGTGTGAGTGGTTATGATTCATTCCTTCACTCCACATATTTTATTGAGCACCTACTATGTGCCAGGCACTGTTCTAGATGCTGATAAAAATGAGCTGCCTTCAGCCTTCCCTAAACTCCTGGGGAAAGATCCGGGAGACCTAGCTGGGTGGGCCTTGGGCACACGGTGTCTGCAGAAACATCTGGCTGCCTGTCCTTTTGGCGGTGGAGCAAGGGCGGCTCAGGGTTGCAAAGGGCCGTGAGGGACTTGTCTTCCCGGGAGCACAATTTGTGAATGCCTTTGTCAGCACCCTCCAGCCAGTGACCCCCCCTTGGAACATCCCTGCATTTGAATAAGTTGCATTTATCAATGTTGCAGCAGAGGGGGATGCACCCCTGGGGGACTCGTGGGCGTCTTAGTTGGAGAGTGTCAGAGAGACTGGTGTAGGACGTGGGCTGTGTTCAGGGGTTCGGAAGGATTCAGGGAAGCACGTTGTCAGGAAGTGGGGTGCTTCTCTATTTGGCATCCTGGAGATTCTTACCTACAAAGGGAGAGGCTAACGCTGTGATTGCCACAGAAGCAGCAGTCTCTTAGGAGAGAGCTTGTTTGGCCTTTTTGTGGTTTGGATATTGTTCATGAATGTGTTCAGACATGATCACGAATGGTCTTGTTTTGGTCTTGATCTGTCATGGCTGCAGAGTGCCTTGTCCAACATTGACGTTAAGTTCAATGGGAGAACACAAGGCCTACGTGTGCGAGCCAGGCCGGCTCCCAGCTCTCAGCCGCTCTCTCCTCCTCCCCTCTCTGTCACTGCCTCTGCCTTCAGACAGAACAGTGCCCAAAGCCCCGGCGACAGACATTCTGAAAGTCTTAGCCACCCCTCTCGGCTCCTTGCTCCTCTGGGGACTTGTAAAATGTGGCCAGGAAGCTTGTCTTCCTGTCTAATCCGATTCAAGTGAAACCATTCTCATTTGCTCCCCAGGGGAGCCTCAGCCAGAGAGATGCGTACCCCCACAAGAATCGTGAACATGTCAGCAAGTCCCTGCTTTTTCCTTTGTGAGCGCTGCAGGGCCTTCTTCACTCCTCACCTCCTGCCCTGCAGTCAAGGGAGGGAGAGCCTCAGGCGAGGCGGGCAGGTGGGAGCGGAGGGCGGGGCCTCAGAGGGGAGGCTCCCGGAGGCTCTTTGTCTATAACACAGTGAACCAGGAGTATTCAGAGCCCAGGGGCTTTGAGACCACTGAGCTCACTGCCCCTCACAGATTCTCTTTCCCACGCCCTCCACCAGGGCCAGCCAGCTGAGCTGGGAGCACTGCCAAGGCAGGGAAGGTGGGGCTGGGACTGAGGAAGGGAGCAAGGCTGAGAGCCTGGGGACTTGTCTCCCAGGCAGGCTCATCAGCTTGGGGTCTGGCGACTGGAACTCAATGTGCCCTTAAGACCCAAACCCCTCTTCACCACTACCCACAGCTCTTCCCTTAGAGCCACATCGCAATCCATTCTGTTGTGTTAATCATTAAATTGTTTTTTTTTCTGAGTGGAGGGGTAAAGATTTAGCTAGTCACACTTTCCTATGAATGAATGTGTGCAGTGCTTCCCCCTCCCCCCCGCCCTGTCACAGGATGGACAGGATGGGCAGCCAAGCACACCAGGGACCTGGTGGAGGTGCCAAAGTCTGGTCAGAGGTCAGGAAGGGTACCTGGAAAGACCAGGATAAAGTTCACCTACTTCATAGTTTTGCCTCGGATTAATCTTCCAGGAGCATTTGGGAGGCTGAGGAAGGAGGGGGTTGTGGTATCAGAGTTATACTCCAGAACATCTGAAATGCATCCCAAACTTACATGGATGGGAAGTCTAGGCCTCTATTCTGGGGCTCTGCAGCTAGAGGCCGAGTGTTCAGTTCAGAGCAGCCTGAACCCTGGGCCGAGTGGACGAGAGGGCTGCTGGTCCCGATGGGATGGGATGGGGTGGGATGGGATGGAACGGGATGGGATGGATGGGACGGGATGGGACGGGATGGGATGGGATGGATGGGATGGATGGGATGGGATGGGATGGGATGGATGGGATGGACGGGATGGGGTGGGATGGATGGGATGGGATGGGATGGATGGGATGGGATGGGGTGAGATGGATGGGATGGGATGGATGGGATGGGATGGGATGGGATGGGATGGGATGGACGGGATGGGATGGGACGGGACGGGATGGGATGGGATGGGATGGATGGGATGGGATGGGATGGGATGGATGGGATGGACGGGATGGGATGGGATGGACGGGATGGGATGGGACGGGACGGGATGGGATGGGATGGATGGGATGGATGGATGGGATGGATGGGATGGATGGGATGGACGGGATGGATGGATGGGATGGGATGGGATGGATGGATGGGACGGGATGGGATGGGATGGATGGGATGGGATGGGATGGGATGGGATGGGATGGGATGGATGGGATGGGACGGGATGGGATGGGATGGATGGGATGGGATGGGATGGGATGGATGGGATGGATGGATGGGATGGGATGGATGGGATGGATGGGATGGATGGGATGGGATGGATGGGATGGGAGGGATGGATGGGATGGATGGGATGGGATGGATGGGATGGACGGGATGGGATGGGATGGATGGGATGGGATGGGAGGGATGGGATGGGATGGGGGGATGGGAGGGGATGGATGGGATGGGATGGGATGGGATAGGATGGGATGGATGGGATGGGATGGATGGGATGGGATAGGATGGGATGGATGGGATGGGATGGGATGGACGGGATGGGATGGATGGGATGGATGGGATGGGATGGATGGGATGGATGGATGGGATGGATGGGATGGATGGGATGGGAGGGATGGATGGGATGGGATGGGATGGGATGGATGGGATGGGATGGATGGGATGGGATGGATGGGATGGGATGGGATGGGATGGATGGATGGGATAGGATGGGATGGGATGGATGGGATGGGATGGGATGGATGGGATGGGATGGGATGGATGGGATGGGATGGGATGGATGGGATGGGATGGGATGGACGGGATGGGATGGGATGGATGGGATGGATGGGATGGGATGGATGGGATGGGATGGGATGGGATGGGACGGGATGGATGGGATGGGATGGGATGGGATGGGATGGATGGGATGGGATGGGATGGGATGGGATGGATGGGATGGGATAGGATGGGATGGGATGGATGGGATGGGATGGGATGGATGGATGGGATGGACGGGATGGGATGGGATGGGATGGGATGGGATGGGATGGATGGGATGGGATAGGATGGGATGGGATGGACGGGATGGGATGGGATGGACGGGATGGGATGGGATGGATGGGATGGGATGGATGGGATGGGACGGGATGGATGGGATGGGATGGGATGGATGGGATGGATGGGATGGGATGGATGGGATGGGATGGATGGGATGGGATGGGATGGGATGGGATGGATGGGATGGGATAGGATGGGATGGGATGGATGGGATGGGATGGGATGGATGGGATGGGATGGGATGGATGGGATGGGATGGGATGGATGGGATGGGATGGGATGGACGGGATGGGATGGGATGGATGGGATGGATGGGATGGGATGGATGGGATGGGATGGGATGGGATGGATGGATGGGATGGGATGGGATGGGATGGGATGGATGGGATGGGATGGGATGGGATGGGATGGATGGGATGGGATAGGATGGGATGGGATGGATGGGATGGGATGGGATGGATGGGATGGGATGGACGGGATGGGATGGGATGGATGGGATGGATGGGATGGGATGGATGGGATGGGACGGGATGGATGGGATGGGATGGGATGGGATGGGATGGATGGGATGGGATGGATGGGATGGGATGGATGGGATGGGATGGGATGGGATGGGATGGATGGGATGGGATAGGATGGGATGGGATGGATGGGATGGGATGGGATGGATGGGATGGATGGGATGGGATGGACGGGATGGGACGGGATGGGATGGGATAGGATGGGATGGGATGGATGGGATGGGACGGGATGGATGGGATGGATGGGATGGGATGGATGGGATGGGACGGGATGGGATGGGATGGGAGGGGACGGGACTGGATAGGATTGGATGGGATGGGATGGACAGGATGGGATGGGATGGGACATGATGGAACGGGATGGGATGGAATGGGATGGGCAGGCACAGGAGGCTTTCCCTGAACAGAGTCTGTTCTCCACCATGTGCACACCAACAGTTTCTTTGTGCCTGGGTGGTCCTAGGACACCTGTTGAGAACCGTGTGCAGGGCTGCAGCCTGCTCTGTGCCCAGAAAGGAAGCTGAGCTGGTAGCCAGGGGCCTAGAACTGAGCTTCCAGCCCTCCTCTTCACGTCTTCTCCTGCCCCTGCCCCCGCCCTAGATCTTGCTGTGCTTGGCACCGCGTGGGTGACAGATGAGACGGAGAACTCCCTGGACGTGGAGTGGGAGAACCCCCCAACCGAGGTAGACTATTACAAGCTGCTGTACAGCCCGCTGACGGGGCAGGAGGTGGCCGAGGTCACAGTGCCCAAGAGCAGCGACCCCAAGAGCCGATATGACATCACAGGTAAGAGCCAGCCCTGGGATGGGAGGGGTTTGCTGGGGATGCTGAGGCAGGGACAGCGTGTGCACAGTGTGTCCTGGGGCCTTAGGAGTCACTTGAACCCTGACCCCAGAAACTCCCAGACGTGAGCCCACTCTGGAAGCCCAAGGACTCTGCTCCAGCGTCCCAGAGCGACACCAGAATCTCAGAGTGAATCCAGAATCTCAGAGCCCCTGCTTAACAGATGACTCATCTGACACGGTCTTCCCTGTCTCACCCTGTCCGTGTCTCAGAGAGATGTGAGGGCTCAGAGACTTCCCTTTTGGAAGAATGTGTGCGTGTGTTGTGTGTGTGAGATATAAAGAGGAGGGAGGGAGGGAAGGAGGAAAGGAGGGGGGCGGAGAGAGAGAGACAGAAGGAGAGGGAACTTGATTGATGAAGATAGTGTTTTCGGCATAATCCATGGAAGGCGTTGCTGGGTGCTGGGCTCGGGGAAGTCCTGTCCCAGAGGCCGGAGCCAATGCTGTGAGAACAGGAAATCAGAGGCTCTGAGGGAAACGGGCCACGCAGGGCCACGTTATGTGTTGTGACACCTGCAGCTTGTACAGTTTCCAGGGCCGTCTTTAAGAAAAGCAGTATGGCAACCATGAATACCCAATTTGTCCTATGGCTCCAGCTGGGGTCTGTTCCTCCATCGCTCCGAGTTCCGTGTTGAGTGGCCGTCCTGGGGTTCCCATTGTGCAGTGAAAACCAGGGTCTCACTCATGCTGCTCTTTGCCTGCACTTGCCACCAGAGTCTGGGTGTTTGTGCCACGAAGAACAATCATTCAAGTCGGTGCTACAGAGAAATAACAACAAAAGGCAGAGAAAATAAAAAAAATAAAAAGGTGGTGGTGGGGATTAGGCAAATTATTACAGTGAGAAGGAAAGAAATGTTTGAGGAAAAGGATTGTTTGGGCTGTAAATACACTGGGAAGTCAGTGCTCGGTGGTGCACTGTGTGTGTGTGTGTGTGTGTGTGAGAGAGAGAGAGAGAGAGAGAGAGAGAGAGAGAGAGGGAAAGAGAAAGAGAGAGAGAGAGAGAGAAAGAAAGGGAGAGAGAAAAGGAGTGAATGGGAGCTTCCTCTCACCCCTCTATCCTGCCTGCCCCGCTGAAGGATAAGTCGGTGCTCAGTTCTGGGGCCCCACTGGTCCTGCAGCTCTTTCCCTGCCTTACATGGATTAGTGTGTAGGTGGGAGATTCTGGCAGGGGGCAGGGGACAGGGGAGCGGTGCTGGGGTCCGGGCTCCGGAGCCAGTCCTCAGGCCCAGCACTGGCTGCTTGTTTGCAGGTCTGCAGCCCGGGATGGACTATAAGATCACAATTGTCCCCGTACGAGGAGACCTGGAGGGCCAGCCCATCTTCCTGAATGGCAGGACAGGTAAGAGCTGCCGGGAGGCACCGGAGCTTTTCTCACGTTTGCCTTCTGCTGTTTTCCTCAGCTCACTCCATCCTGGGCAAACTCTGGGATTTAGGTGTAGAGATAGTCTGTCTTCGTGACCTGAAGTCTGTTTTGGGGGGCACAGGGATGCTGGATTCAGACTGTGGGAGCCTTTCCGGTCACACTTTTAAAATTTACTATTATTATTATTATCATCATAATCATCATTATAATTATTAAAGGGCCCTCTTGAAGTCCTCTCTCAGCGTAGGGTTCAAGCAGAGGCCAGTGTCCACCTGTCTCAGGTGGTGGAGACAACCTCTTGCGTGTGTACACTGTGGAACAAGGTCACCCAGAGGAACTAGATCTTGAGGATTTGTGACCTTGACCAGCCAATGACTGCTCTAGTTTTTCTTTTTCACATATTTTTATGAAGAAATTGATGGCCCGACCAATGTGGTCACTGATCGAGTGACTGAAGACACGGCGGTGGTGTCCTGGGACCCCGTCCAGGCTGTCATCGACAAGTACGTGGTGCGCTACACCTCCGCTGACGGGCAGTCCAGGGACACGGCCGTGCCCCGGGAGCAGAGCAGCACGGTCCTCACGGGCCTGACGCCTGGGGAGGCGTACAGAGTCCACGTGTGGGCCGAGCGGGGCGGCCAGGAGAGCAAGAAGGCCGATACCACGGCCCTGACAGGTACGGACGGAGCAGGACCCTGGTGGCAGGGAGGAGGCCGACTTTTGAATCAGGAGGCTGGTGTCCATGGGCCGCAGCTCTTTTCTTTGTAAGGGTTAGGGAGGGGTTTGCGAAATAAATTTCAAATTGTATAATTATGAAATTTTTCATTTTTAAACCTCAAACAAAAGATACAAAAGGTCACACTTATTTGGGTTGGAATTCCATACGCAGCTCCCTCAGAGTAGGGTAACTTATTTCCTAATTTTCATTTTTTTTGGTTGTGAAAACTCAAAACATTTGGAAGTTGAATGCTTATCACTGTTTGCAGTGAAGGTACAGGCACTTCACATGTGATTGGAGCTCCATCAGGTGTGGGAATGGTTTGTGTGCTGACTCAGCACTCACCAAACTACTGACTCTGCCTGGGACTCTCAGAAACCACAAGGTCTCCACACTCCACCTAGCGCTCCGCTCAGCTCTGACAGGTGTCCCAAGACTGCCTGGCATACCCAGAACATTCCTTCCACTTACACCCTCCTCAGCACTGTCTCTGAGTTCACAGGAGCCGGATCCGGGAGAACACTTGAGGCTTTCAACACTTGACAAGAAATCATTGAGAGAATCTCACCCAGGTTACTCACCTATACGCTCAACAGATCTTATAAGTAGGGCTATTTCTATCAGCCCAGACCTCAAATGCCATTAGTTAGAGTCTTGGTTTTTTGACCACAGACATAATGTTTTTTAATGTGTTTTTTTTCTTTTTAAAATAGATTTTTAGAGAGGAAAGAAGAGGGAGAGAAAGATAGAAACATTATTGAAGAGAGAGAATCATTGATCGGCTGCCTCTTTCACGCCCCACACTGCGAATCAAGCTTGCAACCTGGGCATGTGCCCTGACTGGGAATCAAAGCTTGACCTCTTGGTACACAGAGCTCAACTTCTGAATCACGCTGGCTGGGCAGCATAATGTTTTAAGTGGAAAGAACTGGAAGCTCCTATTTCCAGGATAATTTTCTTCCCCAAAAGAATAAGAGCAGATATTGAGATTTATTGAAGTAGAATTCCTTTCAGGCACAAGGAGTTGGAAACTGAAAGAACCCTTTTTATAAATTCAGTGGAAAGGAGAAAAAGACCATTTTTTTTAAAATCCAAAAGCAACTTGTAGGAAAAGTTTACAAATTTGAGACTTTATGGTGGCTTTGTCTGAACACCCTACTTCTCATGAAATGCAATTAGACCATCCTTGAAATTCCAGACCACTGTTTAATTAAACCCTCAAGTTATCTCAATCATTTGCATTTAACAGACTCTGAAATTTATCTAGGTCATCATTTGGGCAACCTGGCCTTTCATGAGCCAGAGAGTTGCTAAATACTGCCCTCTTTTCTTTCTCTTAAAGACATTGACAGCCCCCAAAACCTGGTGACCGACCGCGTGACAGAGACCACGGTCACCATCTCCTGGGAGCCGGTGCAGGCCGCCATCGACAGGTACCTGGTGCGCTACACCTCCGCCGACGGAGACACCAGGGAGGTGCCCGTGGGGAAGGAGCAGAGCAGCACCGTGCTGACGGGCCTGAGGCCGGGCGTGGAGTACACGGTCCACGTGTGGGCCCGGAAGGGGGACCGGGAGAGCAAGAAGGCCGACACCAAGGCCCCCACAGGTAACAAGATAGAGGCGGTCAGTTGGAATTGAATTTTGAGCACATGGTAACAAAAGACATGGCCTGAGTTGAGAGACTTTGCAGAGCAAGTCCTAACGCTCCAACAGGACAGCACATCTAGTGCTCATCTCCGTGTGCTGCTGCTCCTGCAGCTCTGAGCTGCCCAGAAAACCCTCTACCCACTAGAAGAGAGACATAAAGTTGTGCAGTAGCAGTGTTGTTAGCAGAATTAGCGGAGACTTTCAGAGGATATGGCCATTGCAGTGCTGGTAATACTTTGAGAATGATCACCTGTGCAGTAGCCCTTGGTAAAATGTAAATTGGGTATCCTGAATGTCATGGCAGATGTACGATGGATTGTTTTGATTGTGCCATAATGTTGCAAAGAAGACATCATTGTTGAGAGCTGAAAGCCAACAAAGCATGTCCAGTTTATAATGAGTGGGCCTCTGGAATTGAGAACCAGGGGTGACCTTTGCCCTTGACTCCCTCTCAGGGAGAGACTCAGGATGGGAATATCACTCCTTGTGCCAACCAAGCTCCAGAGGATGAAATCGTGGAGATGGGCTGCTGGGTATCTCTGCCATGACTTCAAAGCTTAAACTTTCCTAAATATTTTCTTAAGAAATTGACAGCCCAACAAACCTGGTGACCGACCGGGTGACAGAGACCACGGCCACCATCTCCTGGGAGCCGGTGCAGGCCGCCATCGACAGGTACCTGGTGCGCTACACCTCCACCGACGGAGACACCAGGGAGGTGCCCGTGGGGAAGGAACAGAGCAGCACCGTGCTGACGGGCCTGAGGCCGGGCGTGGAGTACACGGTCCACGTGTGGGCCCAGAAGGGAGACCGGGAGAGCAAGAAGGCCGACACTCAGGCCCCGACAGGTAAGGGAGAGTTGTTCTTCGGCCTCATACTTCGTTCTTGTAAAGATAAATGGTGATCAGTCCCCTCCACCCACTGTTCTTCCCATTGTATTTCCTTTGTGACCAGTCACTAAATTATTTCTTCTTAAAAGGGAAAAATATAAAGAGGCCTTATATGTTAGGATCTGTGAGCTAAGCACTTTTGGGCAATGGCTTTTGCTATGATCTCTTTGGAACAAAAAGAGTCATTGTTTTCTCGGTGAATAAGTCCTCCTGAGCACTTTGTGCCCTGTTCTGAGGATCCTACGGTCACGGTAATATACAAGAAGAGTTCATCATTTTTAAATATTTTCATCTGTTTCCTCATTTTTGAAGAACAGACATATGGAGATATAACTTATATACTATAAAGTTCACCCTTTAAAAGTATACAATTCAGTGGTTTTTAGTATGTTCACAGAGGTGTGCACCCATCATCTCAATCTAATTCAGAACATTTTCATCAACCCTGAGAGAAACCCCATACTCATCACCAGTCATTCCCCATCCCCACTTTCTCCAACTCTAGGAAAATACTACTTTTTGTCTCTATAGATTACCTTATTCTGGACATTTTATATGGATGGATTCATACAATATGTGGCCTACTTCACTGGCTTTGTTCACTAAGCATGACATTTTCAAGGCTCACCCATGTTGTAGCATGAATTGATACTTCATTTTATTGTCAAATACTATTCCATTGTATGGATGTAGCACGTTTTATTTATTGTCAGCTGCTGGGCATTTTGGCTGTTTCCACTTTCTGGATATTATGAATAATGCTGCTAAGAGCATCTATGTATACATTTTTGTGTGGGAATATTTTTAATTCTTTTTCAGTATATGCCTAGGAGTGGGATTACTGGGTCATATGGTAACTTGTGTTTAGCTTTTTGAGGATCTGCCAAGTCGGTTCCAGAGTGGTGGCACTATTTTATATTCCCACCAGCAGTGCACGAGGATTATATTTCTTAGTTGGTCCTCAGTGGAATTGGTTGGGATGGGCAGAGCAGGGATCAATATCCCTATTTTATAGATAAGAAAACTCAATACCTGTGCATGACTTCTGTAAGGCACAAAGAGAGCTGATGTTTCATGGAGTCAGATTTGTGGGATATTCATGAAATATGATGGTCCCTTAAACTCTGTTTAGTAAGGTCCACATTTTATAAATGAGGACACTGAGGCCCAGCCAGAGGCAGCAGAGTAGTTTGGGGCCAAGCTGGGCTCTGCCTGCCCCTCTGCTCTGTCTCTGGGCCGGAGCTAGAAGCCAGCTCCTTTGACTCTGTGTCTGGGCCTCATTCTACTGTGCTTCCTCCTTGAAGATCCAAGAGTTCAGCCATGGACAGGAGGTCTCTGTCCATGACACAGCTGAAAACCCGAGTATGGGGTGGGGAACCTTAAGAACAGGAAGCTGTCTCACCCCAAGCAACATGGCCATGAGATCTCAGTCTGCTAATAATGTTTATTGATCAGCATTTTCCTTTCAGACATTGACAGCCCCCAAAACCTGGTGACCGACCGGGTGACAGAGACCACGGCCACCATCTCCTGGGAGCCGGTGCAGGCCGCCATCGACAGGTACCTGGTGCGCTACACCTCCGCCGACGGAGACACCAGGGAGGTGCCCGTGGGGAAGGAGCAGAGCAGCACCGTGCTGACGGGCCTGAGGCCGGGCGTGGAGTACACGGTCCACGTGTGGGCCCAGAAGGGGGACCGGGAGAGCAAGAAGGCCGACACCAAGGCCCCGACAGGTAAGGGAGAGTTGTTCCTGGGGAATGTAAGACCTGTCACACTAAGTGTGTGAGTGATTAATTTTTGTTTTCATCCCTGACACTGGTAGAATCCATGGTTTATGGAGGGAAGAATGGTGTCCTGTTATAATAGACTATACCCATCATGCCCCACTCCCTTTTACCTGCTTTCCTTACAAGTCAGGGCCTCATGGCTGTCTATAAGCAATGATTTGCCGTGATGGGCACATTGAGCCACAAGAATCTTTTGTTGTGGACAGTGTTGAGGGTCCCCTACTGAGTTTGTGAGTGGGAACAGAAAAGGAAAACTCAATGTTGTTTATATGTTAAATATGTTGAAAATTTAACTTTAAAAAAGTAGACTTTATATCTATCAGAGCAAGTTGATGTCTGTAGTTTGCTTTACAGTGAATAAACAAGAGTTGATTTTTATTTTGAGAATAAGGATAACTTCTATGCTATATTCCTATCCTATTGTGAAAGAAATGAATGACCATATTTCTGTATAGAGATTTAACTAGCAAACTAATGTTCTGAGTGAATCTATGATAGTATAAAGAATATTAAAACTAGATTTTAATTTTTGCCAATTCATTTAGCAGTACAGATTGAGCACTTTCCATTTGCCCTGTCCACTACTAGGCAGCAAGAGCCCTGAGGGTTTAGGATGCATCCCTCTTCCTCTAGGAGCTTCTGTCTGTGCCTTGCGATTAGAACCTTCTTGTATGAAATGGGAAGTCTTCATTGATAGGATGCTAGAAACGATATTATCAGCTGCTTGTGAGCAAAGCCTGTGTCTTCCATTGGCACTGATGCTCTAACTAGCACCATGCATGTACAGGGTCAGAGTGTGATTACTAAATAAGTAAAGAGATTTGTTTTGCTAAACTCTTAGTAGAGATAACAACATATATTTTCAGATTTTGGTCTACTGTGCTGTCTCGTTGAGGAGCCAAAATCTATCTGGGGAGAGAAGATACATGTCCAGGCAGGAGTTAGAGCGTATGAAGTGGAAAAACCACAAAATACGAACATGTTTTGCCCTAAGCAAAATAGCCACTAGTTTCTGCACTCCCATTAACAGTGCATATTGATCATGGTTTTTTAATTTCTAGACATTGACAGCCCCCAAAACCTGGTGACGGAACGGGTGACAGAGACCACGGCCACCATCTCCTGGGAGCCAGTGCAGGCCACCATCGACAGGTACCTGGTGCGCTACACCTCCGCCGACGGAGACACCAGGGAGGTGCCCGTGGGGAAGGAGCAGAGCAGCACCGTGCTGACGGGCCTGAGGCCGGGCGTGGAGTACACGGTCCACGTGTGGGCCCAGAAGGGGGACCGGGAGAGCAAGAAGGCCGACACCAAGGCCCCCACAGGTAACAGCAGAGAGGAGAAAAGCAAACCAGGGTCATCACTATGGATTGATCTGCTGGGATCTGTAATGAGGTTACTGTGAAGAGGGATTCTGGTGTGTTTTAGGAGAGTTGACTGTAAAAAACTTTATTCACCTAAGGAAAAATAAACAGAGCAATCTCATGACTATCTTAAACCCTTTCCCAAACCCTGTGTTATTATTAACCACTGTGCTACTCAGTTATAGGCAATTGTAGAGAACAAGTTAAGCGAATATACAATTCCTACACTGGATTAAAGAAGTGTTCTGTGGCAAGCTATTTTATGTAGGTTTGACTTAATAGATGGTGTGTACTTTGAAAGAACAAGTGTTGTCCTTGACAGCTGGAGCTCTATATTCATTTCTACATGAGCTAAATTTTCTAAGTGCCAGGTCTTGGATATAGTGGTAAACAAAACAAATATGATTCTTTTATATGATTCTAATTATCTTGAAGTCCAGTGGGAAAGATGGACCATCAGCAAACAAACACATTTCTAATTGTAAATTATAAGTTCTGTGAAGGACATGAACATGGTGTAGGTATAGAGAATGACAGGGTAGGGATATTTCTTAGTTGGTATGGATTGAGTAATAGTTAAGGTACATGTTGACAGAAATACCCAAATAACAGTTGCTTAAATAAGGAAGAAGTTCATCCCTCTCTTATGGAATGGTCAGAGTGAAAGTAGGCCAGGGCTGGTATGACAAAGGACCCAGGCTCCTTCCGTATTGTTGCTCAGTCATCCTTCAGGAATTGCCGTCAAATATATTGTCATCACCTAACCTCACTCCGGCTTGTGGAAAGGGGATGAAGAAAGGAAAGGACATGATGGGAGCATCGTAGGTGTTAGTTTTTCTCACATCCCATTGGTCAGATGCAAACTCCAGACGTGGTGCCAGACCTTATTACAAGGGAAGCTGGGAAATGAAGCCTTTAACTGGATGGCCATATGCCAACCATAAACATCTTTTATACTGTCCTTTCTAACGTACATATTACATTTTAATGAAGTAAAACTAAAATAAAAAATATTTTCTCAGTTGGACTAGCCACATTTCACATGGTCAGTAGCCACATGTGACTAATGGCTACTGAATTGGACAATGTAGATAATAGAATATCTCCATCAGTGCAGAGAGATCATTGGATGGTGTGCTTGTAGAAGGAGAGGAGAATGGATAGTGAGGGAAACTAGACATTTCTGGCCAAGGGAACAACATGTGTGATGGCCCTAAGCTGGAACAGCACGCTGAAGAACTGAGTGGCTGTTGGTGTTGCTGGAGTGTGGAAGGCGAGAAAGAAAGTGACCCAAGATGGGGTGAAAGAGGCAGAAGCAGATCATACAAGCCACATGGTATATTTATTGGAAGAGTGACATGATGTGATATTCACTTCAAAAAGGTTATTCAGGCCACAGTGTGGAGAATGAATGGAAGGGACAACAGGTGGAAGTGGGAAGAGTAGTAAAGAGGCAACGGTAAAAGTCTGGTGAGAGGCAATGATGATTGGCACACGGGTGATGGCAGTAAGGTAGAGAAAAGGAGATCTCTGGGCACATTTTGGAGGCGATGACAGGGTTTGTTGATGGGTGAAATGTGGGGCAGGATGAAAATGAGGGATGAAGTATGATTGGTGTTTCTGACTTGAGCAACATGGACTTTTGGGGCATCATTCTCTGAGAGATAAATAGCTTTGAGGAGGAACATTAAGATGTTTATATATGTATGTCAGCTTGGATACTTGTGACCTATTTCTGTCAGTGGAATTGTTTTGTGTGAAAGAAATTGAATGGAGAGTTCCTGGTGCTGAGGTGCTGGGGTGCTGGGGTGTTCCCCCCTGGCTCTAAAAGTCTACCTTTTCTTTTTAAAAAGACATTGACAGCCCCCAAAACCTGGTGACCGACCGGGTGACAGAGACCACGGCCACCATCTCCTGGGAGCCGGTGCAGGCCGCCATCGACAGGTACCTGGTGCGCTACACCTCCGCCGACGGAGACACCAGGGAGGTGCCCGTGGGGAAGGAGCAGAGCAGCACCGTGCTGACGGGCCTGAGGCCGGGCGTGGAGTACACGGTCCACGTGTGGGCCCAGAAGGGGGACCGGGAGAGCAAGAAGGCCGACACCAAGGCCCTGACAGGTACTGTGAGGGACCCAGGCAGGGAACCCTTCATACGTGCCAGGTGTGGGGAGGGGAGCAGGGAAGACCATGTCACCTGAGGACATTCTTCAGAGGGGTTCCCTTTTTACCTTTTTAAGGTCATATGTTGACATGATGGTTCAGGTGAATAGGAAAGAGTGTAGAGGAAGGGGTGTCAAAATAGACTGTGTGACTGTCCAAGATGGCCACCTCCCTGACCACCCTGCCCGCCAGCTCCCATGCTCCCACGTGCCCCCGAGCCCTGACTGGGCCTCAGCTCCAGCTCAGAGCACGGGGAAGCCCAGGCGTCTCGCTGTTTCCCTCTTCCAGATGGGGCCGCGGTGGAGCATCGTCCCTCACTGTCCCTCCAGTCAGCGATCAGGGGCCTGATGCCTGTCTTTTATGTGTGATGGGCCTCTGGTCTCACTGAGCCTCATGATGATCAGGCTTTGAGGGTCCCGCAAAGAGCGCTGTGCCCACCCCGAGGTTCACAGTCTCCTTAGTCTGGGCAAGGCCAAGTCCCCATGGCAACTGGAGTAAGAGGGGACTTGAATTTCTTTATTAGTAGTTACAATTAACAGGAGTTTTTAACCAAAAAAAAGTGATGCATGCTTATATAAAATGAACTGAGTTTCTGTAGAAAAACTATTATCCACATCCCAGGCTCCCTAATAAGAATGCAATTCTCGCCCTACCTGGTTTGGCTCAGTGGATAGAGCATCAGCCTGCGAACTGAAAGGTCCCAGGTTCGATTCTGGCCAAGGGCACATGGCCCGGTTGTGGGCTTGACCCCCAGTTGGGGGCTTGTAGGAGGCAGCCAATCAACTATTCTCTCTCATCATTGATGTTTCTATCTTTCTCTCCCTCTTCCTTCCTCTCTGAAATCAATAAAAATCTATTTAAAAACAAAACAAAACACAAATGGATTTAAAAAAGAAGAGTGTTGCTCTCCAGCCCTGGCTGGTGTGGCTCAGTTGGTTGGAGCATTGTCCTGTACACTAGTACATCAAAAGGTCATGGGTTCGATTCCTGGCTAGAGCACATACCTACATTGCAGGTTTGATCCTCAGTTCGATCCTAAGTCAGGGCACATATAGGAGACAACCAATGTTTCTCTCTCACATGCATGCTTCCCTCTCTCCCTCTCTGAAACAAATAAAAACACATCCTCAGGTGAAGATTAAAATAAAAATAAAATGTGCTCCTAGAGGCAACCAGTACCTTCCTCTTTCTTCCCTTCTTCCTTCCTCCCTCCCCCATTCCCTTCTCTCCCCCCCCCCCCCTTTCCTTCCTTCCTCTCTTCCTTTTACCTTCTCTTTGCTCATTTTTAAAGGCAGCAATATTACCATGTTTCTGCTTCATGGACATATGAGTAAGATAGACACTTCAAGTCCATAACCTGGATGGTGGGCAGTCACAGAGGGGGCAGAGCCAGTCTAAGATATTTAAATCGCTAGGTTCTTCCTGGCCAATGCGGCTCAGCTGTGGGCTCAGTCCCCAATGTGGGGCTTGTAGGAGGCCGCCAATCAATGACTGACTCTCATCATTGGTGTTTCTATCTTTCCTTCTCCCTTCCTCTCTGGAAATAACTAACTAACTAACTAAATAAATAAATAAATCGCTCAGGTTTTGCTTTGACTTCAAAGCGGGAAATTCAGTTTTTCCGTGGGACAAGGACACTAAAACCCATACCAAAGTCAAACCAAGCTGACATTGCAGAAATTCTGCATTTGTCAAAACAACCTAAAACAACAGCTGCCTGATTTCTATTAAAATACTGCAATTCTGTTCTCAGCTGAAATGCTACTGGGTATGAAATAGTCTGGAGGCATCATTTTTGGGAACTTTGAAATTAAAAGCACCTTCTTTAATGACTTTTCAGGATGGAGATTTCCATTCATATCTCATTTGGTTGGAAAAAACATAGTCTTCTGACCAATTACTGTGCTTTTGTTTTTCTGGTCCACCATGCACACATCCCGTGTTCCCACTGGCTTGTGTGTGAGACAGGGCGTGGGGACTAGAGGGAGAGCTCTGCTTTTGCTCTTTTCTCTTGTTTCTCCCCCCCCACCTCTCTCTCTCTCTCTCTCTCTCTCTCTCTCTCTCTCTCTCTCTCTTTCTCTCTCTCTCTCTCTCTCTTTCTCTCCCCCCCCCCTTTGCACAAACACCTCTTCCATCCCTGCTTCTTTTTGTGCAGAGCAGGCATCTCAGGCCACACACTTAGATGTGTAAGAAATAGAACTTCATATTCCTCTGTCGACTTAATGTCCATCATAAGCCCTACGCTACTCGTTGGACATGGATCTCAGTGAATTTAGGGTCACGCTCCTTCCCCAGGGCTGATGTAAAGCCTTGTGTGGTTTCCAGATATCCAGCTGGGGAGCCCACTCTGGGGGACACCCTACTCTGGGGGGCACTCTGAATGCCCGTCGTCCTTCCCAGCAGCTGTTTGCCAAGATGCTCTAGTTTCTGTGTGCAGGCTTCGGATCTGCACTCGCCCATCGTTTCCACGCCAATGTGGGGCCTACCAGCTCTGAATCTAGCCACTGCTCTAGATTGCTCCTACCCATCATCCTCTGTGGGTCTGCTGGGAAGTGGGCCCCAGGGTCACTCCACCTGGGAGGGAACTCACCCCAATACCAGTTCCTTAATCTTTGTCCTTCTAATGCCTTTGGGAACAAAGGTCATAACGGGCTGGTGGCAAGGAAGAATAGAGCCTGTGTGATGGCAGAAAAGACACGGGAAGGTATATGGGCAGAGAATGGAATATATCAAAAATTACTTCCATTCCGTTAGTGATAATAATTGCCTAACTTTTGATATATAGATATCGACCCTCCCAGAAACCTTCGTCCGTCTGCTGTGACCCAGTCTCAGGGGGTACTGATCTGGGCACGCCCCTCGGCTCAGATCGATGGCTACATTCTGACCTACCAGTTCCCAGATGGCACCACTAAGGTACTGCATCCTCCTGCCTCTTCTCACGGGGCCCATGCCCAGCCCCTTAAGAAGCAACTAACTGGGGTCAGCTTGATTGCTGGTCCCATGACAGCCTGCTGATAGGCGAGGTGGTCCTTGTTGACCACCTGCCATGAACACTGGGTCTCATTTTGTAGGATTAACCTGTGCCTGCTCCCAGCTGACCATTGCATGTTTGCTGACCACACAGGGCCCATGTTATTTGTTTATCTTCCCCAATATGTGTTAACTCCATGAGGACAGGGACTTTTTGTCTGTTTTGTTGAGCGCCTACCACATATGTAGCTGCTCAATAAAGATGTATCGAATGAATTATTAACCCTTATTTCAAAGATCATACTGCCCACATGGAATCTGAAGGCCAGTAAATTTGGAAAATTGTTATCCTCTCTCCTTGATGAGGAAGAGATAGGGGAGGAGGGCAAAAGGAAAGGCACATTGATTTAATCATTGCTTCAATGACTCCTTAGACAGCCCTGCTAGAGGCAGAAATACAGGTTAAAAAGGAGGCTTATTGAGAAACCAACTATCTCCCTGCCTCGCAGATATGGGGATGGTCTTCTCACTTCTCAGCCTGGCGTTGAGTGCCCCAGTGTGGATCAGAGGGCAGAGGTCTCGGGAGACTGGCGGGTCCCCTTCTCCCCCCATTGCTGCTGCCTCATGCTGGCTCCCAGCTCCAGCACCAGCAGGAGGCCATTGAGGGGGACACTGGGGTCCTGGGCTGCCCCTGAGCCCTCAGAGACAAGCACTGCTGCCCAAGAGCTGCTGGCATCGGCCCCGGGGAATGTGATGGCGCCAGGCTGCTGAGGTGATACACTGAATGTCCCTTCCTGTCTCCTTTGTGTGGTAGGAGGTGCAGCTTGGACGTGGGGACCAGAGGTTTGAGTTGCTAGGCCTTGAGCAGGGCGTCACCTACCTTGTCTCCCTGGTGGCATTCAAGGGTGATCGCCGGAGCAGGAGTGTGTCCACCACCCTTTCCACAGGTACGTGGCCTCCTGCACTCTGAACAAGACCGTCGGAGAGGCCGAGCCTGGGAGAGGCCAGCAGAGTGTCCCAGGAGGGGTGTCCGCGGGAGAGGTGTCCGCGGGAGGGAGGTCCTCGGGAGGGGTGTCCGCGGGAGGGGTGTCCACAGCAGCGATGACCAGAGTTGGGGGTTCTCTAGGATGGGAATGGGCGGGGTACGGGCTCAGGAGAAGCCCCTCCCCGGGCGGAGAGACGAAAGAGAGGAGCGAAGTGGAGTGTTACTTTGGGTGCAGTTGGGTTGGAGAAGAAGAGCTGTGAACTTGACCTTGTTTCTAGTACATCTGGAGGGTTTGATGAGATCAGAGTGAGTGAAAAGTGAAATGTGAGTGAAGAGTTGGAATGAGCAAAGTAGTAGGAGGCTATGAATCATTCCCAAGCGAAGTGAATTAACTTAAAATAGGGACTGGCCCGCTGCCCTTCTAATGAGGCTGCCCTCTGCTCGGCTCCTAGTTGGTGCTCGTTTCCCACACCCTTCGGACTGCAGTCAGGTCCAGCAGAACAGCAACGCCGCCAGCGGCCTGTACACCATCTACCTGCACGGGGACGCCAGCCAGCCGCTGCAGGTGTACTGCGACATGGACACGGACGGCGGCGGCTGGATCGTGAGTGACGCAAAACATGACCCTCACTAAGTATGACCTTCACACAACTATGAGCCTCATATAGTATGACCCTCATACGAAACGTGGCCCTTGCCCTAGCTGGTTTGTTCAGTGGTTAGAGCGTCAGCCTGCAGACTGAAGGGTACCTGGTTTGATTCCGGTCAAGGGCACATGCCTACATTGTGGGCTCGATCCCCAGTAGGGGGCGTGCAGGAGGCAGCTGATCAATGATTCTTTCTCATCATTGATGTTTCTATCTCCCTCTCCCTTCCTTTCTGAAATAGATAAAAATACATTTATAAAAAACAAAAAACATGACCCCCACACAAGTATGAGCCTCACACAAGTATGACCCTTACACAAAACCTTTAGAGTAACTGAGATGATTATTCTGATTTTACATAAGTACAGTGAGGCCCACAAGGGGATGGGCCTTGGCTAAGTCACACAAGTTAATGACAAAGTGGAAACCAGATTTCAGGACTGCAGCCTCCTCCTCCATCACTGATCTTCCTGGGGGTCATGTCAGATCACCTGAAACACATGACCTCTTTGGGGGCTCTGCCCTCTGAACTGGAGCCCGTTGTCCGGGTTCCTCAGCCTGGCTCCTCAGTACAGAAGCAAGGGCTTTGATTTGAGAGGAGAAGGCCTGAGAGAAGGACACGTTCTGATGGTGCCATGTATGTGTGAGGCCTTATTCTCTTGGCCATTGTCTGCTGAAACATGGCCCTGTCTCTGATGGCGGCAGCCTGACCCAGGGATCTGAGGCGCTGCCTTGGAGAGTTGCGGTCTGATCCTCTCATCTCCCCAGCCCCTGCTTCTGCACCTGAGCAGAGAGAGGCTCTCACTGCCCCAGACCAGCACCCACTTGCCCAGTATGCATCCGCCACTCAAGGAAGCAGAAAGCTGAACCCATCCCACTCAAATGCATTCATTCATATGCCCGCTCAGGGGCCCAGGAAACCAAAGACAGTTGAGCAGCCATGGATAAAATAATACCATCTGATAAGCAGCAACAGAGAAAACTTATTATCCGCACAGCTGCCTCCGATGGCTGAAAGGCAGTAATTGGATTGTAAGGGCAAATTCCCGGTTCATCTTTACAAATATGGGAACAGAAGGTATCCTAGGAGGTCTTCCACCTGACCAGACCCACAGGCTGCGCTGCTGCTTTTCCTCAGCATCGCTGAACTTGGAGCATCCTGCCCCAGAAGCTGGAGGCCAGGTCCCTGCTCTGGAGGCCATAATTGACCTTGGCAGGATGTTTGTGCTGCCTAGTGGGCCTTTTCTGAAAGCCAGGGAAGGAGACGTTTGTCTCAGACAGCCTTCAGAGAGAGATCTCCCAGTGTGTCTGCCTGCCTGGGAAGACCCATGGATTTCCCACAAATATTTGAGTGCCTATTATGTGTCAAGCACTATTGTACCGACTCAAGAACCGCAAGAGAACCTCCTACATCCTGCTCATGCAGAGGACCCAGAGAAAACAGCTCTGGGGTCTCAGTAACCCCAGGCCCACCTCGTCCAGGCTGTGTGCTCTGGCTGACTCCTAAGGTGACACGTGGCCTGGGAGTCTGTAGAGTCCTCCTCGAAGCCAGCACACCTGGATGACACATAGACCTGGAAACTTCTCCATCAAACCTCTCACTGGTGGTGTCCATAGTTTTGGATTCAAGAGTCTGTTTGTCACAGAAAGATGATCTCAGCACATTGCTCTTTTTGGTCAAGCTCACGTCCTTCTAGGGAGGTTATTTACTGACCCAGCAGCTGAGCCCAATCTGATGCACCGGGAGAGGGACTTGCCCCCGGGGAACGGAGGCTGAGCGCAGGAGCCTGCGGTGAAGACCCCAGGAAGCACTTATGTGTCTCAGACATTTCCATCTTTGTTTTTCATCTTGCAAGTTTTAAGGGCCACATTTTCCACAGGCATTTAAGTGAGATTTTATTTATTTTTCTCCAGTTTAGTCGTTCAGGACATCAAGTAAATCCTAGTGTACCCGGTCAGCTGGAGTGTACAACCAGACAGAAAAGATCCTCCCCCCTAACCCCCAACTTCTGAGACGTTTTTGCTAAGAATAGTTCATTAAACTAGTTCACCTCCTAGAGTGGGAATAGACGTGATTCTCGGAGTCAGTTAAGGCTTCCTGATCAAGACGTCCACATGGTCCCCGTGGGTTAGTTCATTGAGAATCTGATGTAATAAAATGCAAACCAACACTTACTGAGATATAGTAACATATCTTTATTTGCCAGGCTCTGGACTCAATACTTTATGATTTATTTTTTAAAATATATTTTTACTGATTTCAGAGAGAAAGGGAGAGAGAGATAGAAGCATCAATGATTAGAGAGACTCATTCAACACCCCACACTGGGGAATCAAACCCACAACCTGGGCATGTTACCCTGACCAGAATCAAACTGTGACCTTCTGGTTCATAGGTCGATGCTCAACCACTGAGTCATGACAACCAGACAATATTATATACTTTATTATGATTCATGACCTTGCTGAAGCCTCATTTAAGCGCATGACAAATGGGCTATCTTGGTCTGATGGTTTAGAGAAGCGAGGCCTGTCAAGGTTAACTAACTTGCTCAAGGACACAGTTGGTCAGCGGAGCGCTGGGTCTCGTCTGAATAGTGATGTGGAGAGCATGGAACCATTGCCCGGAGTTTCCCTGGCCAAGCTGGGGAATTTTCTAACAAGGAAAAGTAATGAACAGGAATGCTCCCATCCCACTTGGGCCCTGTGTTCAGTTCATTGATTGACGGCAGGGACCAAGTGCCTTCGTAATGTATCTGTCCTGGGGGTGGGATCAGATTGGAGCCTGACCTTGTTACTGGGCGTGTATTTTGATGTGATGTTTGTGGAACTAACATCAGTGCCACCTCACCTTGGGTTCCCCTGTCTGTGGTGTAGAGATGGCCCCGGGGAAGGGACTGGAACAGTCTTGGTGCTAAGAAACTGACAATGAGCCTCAGAGTGTTAAGAAATGCTTTTTGGAGAATAGACTCAGTAGAGCTGCTCTGCTTTTTGGAGAAAAGACTCAAACTTTCCAATGGAATGGTGAGAGGATCGGTGTTTTCTCCTGGCATCAGCCCCCAAACACTTAGCTGTGTGAACTTTCCCATCTGTAACGTGGCATCTTCTATACTTGCCCCGGAGCCAGCACTTAGCAAAAGCTCAGTAAATGATTGCTACGTCAGTGAATCAATGAGGCACCAATGAGGGAATGAGGGAATGGGGCATCTCTGAAGAAGGACTCGAGCGAAGGGGCAAGAGAACAGCAGAGCTAACTGGTGTCGTTGTTTGCCTGCCCTGCCCATGCAGGGACTAGGGATTCAGGCAGATTCCAACTTGTGGCACCGCCCTGTCCCATGTGGCCTTCCCGAAGGCAGAGGGCCCGTGGCAATGGAAGGGCGAGCAGGGAGACCCTCCGACTCCTGTTCTGTCTGTCCTCGGGTAGCCCCGACCCCAGCTCCCGTCCCTCTCCCCAGTCACGCTGCTGAGTGCTCAGAGGGAACCCCATCTCCCTTTCCAGGTCTTCCAGCGGCGGAACACCGGGCAGCTGGACTTCTTCAAGCGCTGGCGGACCTACGTGGAGGGCTTCGGGGACCCCACCCAGGAGTTCTGGTTTGGTACGGGCCCCGAGAATCTGGAAGGCTGAGTGGTGCGAGGGGGCATTCCCCTTGAGAACCAAAGGTGTAGAAAATGCCCATCGATGGGGATTCTGCTAGCAGGCCACCCTGGCCCCAGCAATGCTGCGCGTTCTGCCAGCCCGTAGGGGCCCCGCGCTTTCTCTCTTCCTTCTGCTCTGTGCTCCAGCAGATGTTCATGGAGAGTGAGGGAGCGAAGAATGGGAAGTCACAGTCTGGATGCCCAGTGCCTGGGAAGGTAGGAGACCGCCCATGCGTGGTTGGTCTCCGCCAGCTGTGAGACTGGAGGACAATAAATATAAACCATTGGAGCCTCAGGGATGAAAGCCCCATGAGCGCCTGCACTCTGCCCTCCTGCAGGACACGACCTCCACGCTCAACAGCACGACTGCACCAAAGAAACAATAGCAGGAGAAAATGCGCCCCCTAAAGAGAAGGCGGGGGGGGGGGGGGGGAGGCCCCCATTAGCAGAGGAGGTGAAGGCCAAGGTGACGTTCGGTGATTGGAATTCCTTGTTTCTAGGACTCGACAAACTGCACAACCTCACCACAGGCACCCCCACCCGGTACGAGGTGCGAGTGGACTTGCAGACGGCCAACGAGTCGGCCTACGCCGTGTACGACTTCTTCCAGGTGGCGTCCAGCAAGGAGCGGTACCGGCTCACGGTTGGGAAGTACAGAGGCACAGCAGGTGTGCGCAGGGTTCCCCCTCACCCCGAGGCCGCTGGCCCTGGTCCAAGCCTCGGGCTGCGGTGTGCCAGGGGTCAGGGGATGGAAGACTGTCCTGAGAAGGTGCACGGTTCTCCTGGACACACGAGGCCCGCTCCCAGCTGGGGGGCAGAGGACAAAGGTCTTAAAGCAATCCTTGGCCAGTGTGAGACAGAACATTATACGTGGACACCCCCTCCCCCCGCCCCAGCGCACCCCCAGCCAGTAAAAACCCTCCTCTTGTACCCCCAGTGCAGGAGGCTGCCCCCTCGCTGAGGAATCACACTCTGAGCCGCCACCCCCTGGTGCTGCCCACCGCCCACTCGGCTGCCTCCGTGCACAGCCTGGGTGTGTGATTCCTTAAAGGCAGAAAGGTCGAAGTGCGGGGCCAGCGCTAGGCCTGTAGGTCCCGTGATGTTAGGCAGCTGTGACAGCACAGGGACAGCCGTTCCGTGGAGATGGGGCTCACCCTCCCTGGGCTGCGCCCTGGTGTTTATTTGTGAAGGAAAATCACAAAATTAATCCTGGGATGGTGCCATTGGACTATTTTATTTAAGAGGGAGGCGTGGTTATTGTTTTAATGTTATAGTTAAGCCTATATTTCTAGTTTTTAAAATCCTAACAAGTAGGTCTGCTGTTTGCTTCTGCATGTTTTGACTTTGGGGTAACTAGGTAGGAATGTGTCACCAGCCAGATCGACAGACTGCGTAAGACGCGGTCTCTCCCCTGAGACCCACATGGAGATACATCATTGAGAACAGAAGATAACTTCGGCAAAGAGTCTAATAAGTGGTCAGGGGGTGAGAGAGCTCCAGGAGGAGAAGGTGGTACGTGGGGGCTGAGGCGAGGCAGGGGCCTCTGCAGGCTGGCTGGCTGGAGTCGGGTCTGAAAGGGAAGAACTTAGCTGGGAGGGAGGAAGGGGAGTCTGGGACTGAGAAAGGAAATTGGGGAGTACTCTTAAAACCGCAGGCCTTCTCAACATGGTCTGCTCAGTGACCCCTAATGGCAGAAGACTGAACACACACTGTGATCTGAAGTGGCCAACCACCAGTGCAAAATTTCTTCCAGGTTTTAGGACTCAGTATTTAAAAAAGTCACATGAATTTTGCCTTTGCTCTTAGCTCCCAGTGCTCAGCATGGAGCCCGGTGGGTGAGCTTCCATGGAGATACTGCCGGCAGGACCTTTCTGTCTAATCCTAGGGGTGTTTTATGTTGTAAAGAACAGTTCCTGAGTCCCAGATAGCTGCCATGCAGGTGGGTGGAGGGGGAGTCTGGTGACACGGAGGAGACAAGCTGGAGGGGTGGGACCCTGGATAAGCCATGGGCTCTAATGTATGCGAGTTTGCTTTCCTCATGGGACTTGTTTGTGAAGGTGATCAGTAAACTCAGAGACCAGATATAAATATGTTTATTTTCATTAAAACCAGCACTTAATTAAGCTTGGGATGCATAGGGACCCTTACTGCCTTTTGTGAGCTGAGTTAAAAAGTAAACTTATAAAAGGACCACACATGTGATGGTGAACTAGGAGAAAGGCGAGTAAAGTAACTACAGGTCTCCAGACACAGTGACATGGAGCGTGAACCTGTGAGCTGTGCAGAGAGCTCCAGAAGTCAGGTGTGCGGCAGGAGGTGTGAGGGAGGTGCGGGAGGAGACTTGCTCAGGACCGCTGAGCTGGGCTTCAGGATTGGTTAGGATTTAACCAGTGGAGAGCCGGGAGGAAGCGGTAAGAGGGGCACAAGGCTGGACCTGTGCGCTCCACAGTCGGAAGCTGCCTGTGGGACAGTGGGCTGAGGTTGTGCATCCGAAACAGCCAAGTCACAGGTCCGCAAAGCCGGGGGAGAAGTTCACGTCTGTGTGGCAGGAAGTAGGATGTGAGGCCTGAGAGGATGGTGCCTTACCCTCAGGAGAGGGTGTGGACTAGGCCCAGAGAGGGGAGCAGGCCCCCTGGCCCTGTGGGGAGGGCACCTCGGTGGAAGGGCAGGAGGAGGATACAGGGGATTGTCGGATGCGGCTCAGGGGCTTCTGGGCTGGGCGGCTGGGCAGATGGCCGAGCAGAGACCGGGAGGACAGACGGGTGGTCAGGTGCTATGGGAGAGTCATGAGTTTGTTTTGGGATTTGGCTATTTCACAGAACTGTGATGCTTCTACCGAGCATGCTGTGAAGGCTGTTGGCGGACGAGGCCTAGAGTTTGGGTGGCAGACCCGGAAAGAGGACCTGTGACATAATGGACCGGGTCCCTGTGAAGCCCTCAGGCCCTCGGTGGCGGAACATGGCTCTCACCCTCGTCTTCTCTCCCGCAGGCGATGCTCTTTCTTACCACAATGGGTGGAAGTTCACAACCTTTGACAGAGACAACGACATCGCCCTCAGCAACTGTGCCCTGACGCACCATGGCGGCTGGTGGTACAAGAACTGCCACCTGGCCAACCCCAATGGCAGATACGGGGAGACCAAGCACAGTGAGGTAGGGGACTGGCTCTGCACACTCATTTTCCCAAGTGACACCTCAGGCGGGTTTGTCTGCCTTCTGCTTCTGAGGCTCCCAGGTAGGTCAGGAGTTGGTTTTCAGGCTCCATGGCCCTGGGTCAGGGGCCTTCTGCTCACCCCTCCCCATGGCCTTGGGGTCAGGGCCTCCTGACACCTGCTCACCCCTCCCCCATGTCCCCCACTTTCCGCAGGTGGTGAGAGCCCAGGCTGCCCACTCAGAATATTCACACATGATGTGGGTCCCGCTCCATCTCTCTCGACCAGCCCACATGGACATGGTCTTGCCCAGCTTGGTGTGCTGTCACCAAACACTATAGGCTGTGGGGCTTGAGCAGACATTTATTTCTCACTTCCTGGAGGCTGGGAGTCCAAGATCAAGGTGTGGGTGGGCTCCAGTCCTGGTGAGAGCCCGTCCTTGTCACGGCGCAGAGAGCTCTGCTTCTCTTCCTCTTCTTAAAGGGCACGAGTCCCCCCTGGGGGACCCACCCTCGTGGCCCCAGCACCATCACCGGGGGGGATGGCTTCAGCTAGCTGTCCAGGTAAACCAGAGCTCTTTTTCTCAAGTCCTGCGATCACCAGGGAAAGAGTCCTTTCTGCCGGAGCGCAGACCCATCCCTGGGCCCAGTTCATCCAGAACCAGCCAGTCTGCCCAGAGCTCTCTGCTGAGCACCTGTCCATTTCAGAGCACAGAGGCGCATCCTCACCGCCCTGTCCCCTCCTGGCTCTGGAACTTCCCCCCGCAGCGGTGTCTCCAGCTTCTGGGACCCGTGAACGTCACCTTGACTCCTCACCGCTATGGGCATCTCCTGCTGCTTCCTCACAGCTTCTTGATCCTTCACCTTTGTTCCTTCTCAGCATTAATCCGTGCCCTCGGGCACTCTCTGAGTGCTAAGCCTGGCTTTCTGCCTCCATCCCAGGCCCATCCTGGCCTCCGGGAAGCCCCGCCCCGCATGCCCCTCGCCAAAGGCACTCACTGTGAAGACCAGCACACTTGAGGCCTGGGGACGGGATTGCTTTGGCCCTGACGGGCAGCAGCGGGGCTGACCAGGGTGGTTTTTCACAGGGAAGGAGAAAGATGCCCCTGGGAAGACAAGGCGGGGTGGGAGACCGGGGGTGAAAGGGGTGGGGGGGAGGGGGGCAGCACCAAGGGGGCAGGCTGGGCCCACCCAGGAACGCCTGTGATCAGAGACCAGCTGTTTGCAATGAGCAGCCAGCGGGCCCCAGCCAGGCCCATGTCTGCTAATAAAGGACATTCATCTGGTTAATGTGCTGCTCACAGTCGGCAGGGCGTTTATTTCCTGTTTATTATTTACCTCACAAATTAAAACACACAGAATCGGTCACTTGGGCTCTTTATTGGCCAGGTTGCGAGGTTATTAAGTGAATTAAATATTGTGCTCTCCAGTCAGAAGACATAAAATGAAATTTAGTTTTCAGCAGGCTGTTCGTTACCCCAGAGCTAATATCTAAACAGCCTAAATTGAAAATGATTCCACACAATTGGCCAATTAATATGTTTATTTTTGCCTTTAATTTTTTGGAAAGGAGAAGAGTGAGGCAAAGAGAATGTGATCATTGCTGGCCAGGCTGGCCCTGTTATCGGAGCCCCTGCGCCTCCTGGGCTCACCCCGCCCCCACCTACCACACACACACACACACACACACACACACACACACACACACCCCTCCACCACAAGGGGCTCCCAGCCTGTCTAACCCTAGCTGACCAGCAGAGGGCGCATGTTCCTAGATCAACCCTCACTTCCCTGAGGGTAACTTCCCGGAGGTTGTGGTTTCCCAGGCAAGGACCCTCTTACCCTCTCCCCCCGACATTCCTCTTTCTGATGTTGGCTTCTGGATGTAGGGGGTGAACTGGGAGCCGTGGAAAGGACACGAATTCTCCATCCCTTACGTGGAGCTGAAGATCCGCCCTCAGGGCTACAGCGGGGAGCACGTCCTGGGCAGGAAGAAGAGGACACTAGGAGAAAATTCTAGAACGTTCTGATGACCTGTCTGAGCAATCATCGCATGAGGCAAGGCCGGCCGGGGTCGGGGCTGTGTGAGCTGGGGGTGGGTGGGTTCTGGTGGCTGGTTAGTGGAAGCTGGAGGGAAGTCAGCCCGGGTTCCTGAGATGGCTGGTCACCAGCAGACACAGTCGCTCACCAAGCCCAGGCCACCTGCATTCTTTCCCATCCACACGGACGTGAAGGCCAGCTCAGGCGTGGTTGTCCAGTGCATATGGGAGAGAACCACAAGGTCTTTCTTTCAGTCTTTCTTCAGTAACAGATATATAGGACTAGAAAAAAAATAAAATAAAAAACAGAATCCAGCACTTTACTGCCTGGAAAACTCTGGAAGCGGTGTGTGACTATGAAGCTCTGCTAACACAAACCTTCTCTCTAGAAAGAAGCACCAAGGTGTCCCTGACCCAGGGCTGAGGTCGCCTGATGCCATGACCTCCCTCCTGTGACTCTGGGTTTTGGGGAAAAGGGGGCACACCTTCCCCTTCCCAGAACGTGCTGCTGTGGTGAGGAAGAATGACGGGAGCCCAGGGGGCGAGATGGAGTCGCAAGGAGCCGAGCCCCGGCTAGCCCAGCTCGTGGGAATCACGCCTTCCAGGTTTCTGCTGTTTCAAGAGTCCTCTCCCCAGCCCTTTGCATAAATCACGCTCACAGGCCTGTGTACGTTCTGAATAAATTCTCACTGGTTTCAACTGTAAGTCATTTGCCTCCTGATAACTGGTTGCTCCCAAAGTCTCTTTCCTGAGACTCCTGCTCACGGCCCAGCCTCCCTCCCTTCCCCATCCGCCCCCTGGGAAAATGTTAAGGTTGTGCCCAGCGGTGTGGCTCAGCCCCGGGGCTTTCCAGAAAGTACCCAGCGTCTGAGCCGTGTTGTCGGAACAGACAGGTGGTCAGACCTTTCAGCTTATTTTCCTGTCTCTTTGGAAGGTTTTTCTGTAGGGAAATCAGTGACCGTTGGAGTAAGACAGATTCCTCTTCAAGAAGAAAATACTAACACACCACCCGATTTAAAAGATTTGCCTGTGTTCTTTTCCCCATGTGAGTGCACTTGAATTCTAGATTTAACCCAAGTGTGAGTGAAGGCAGGGTCTGTGCACTTTAATGGGATAGGTTGGCTGTGGTCTCTTACTCGCATGATGGCAAATAATGGTATTTGGAAGCAGGAGGAGAGAGTGGGAAGGAGGACAACTGTCCCCTAAAAGGTGTCCTTTATTTCCTTTATTGCCTCAGCTTCTCCCGGGTTTAACCTCTACTTTTGGAACTTAAAAAAAAAATAAAAAATCAGCCTTTAAAATTTTACTCCCCCTCCCCAACCTTCCCTCCCTCCCACACACATTGGGCAATGCCATAGTCACTGCTAGATCTATCGGTGGGTGGTCTGAGTGACAGACAGTTCCAGAGCTGGAGCTGATCATGAAAAACGGCCCACATTGTTCTTTGATTCAAGAATTTAAGTGTCTGCCTGCTTCTTACCAGGAGGGGTGTCGGGGGGAGGGAGGCAGAGGAGGTCCTTGCACGGATGGAGTGCATACTATCATTCATTTATTCGTTCATTCATTTGTTCGTCCAACACATTCCGAGTAAGCCCCAGTGTGTGCCAGCCCTCCTCTAGGCACTGCTGACCTTCCCGTGACAGCTCTGGCAGCTCCCCCTCTGGGGGCTGGAATGGGCCTCAGGAGTGGGCTTCTGGGTAAACCTCTTCAGAGGGTCACACTCTTAAGAGTCAGGTCATAGCCTCTGGGGACGAGCCGAAGAAAGCCACAGCTTCCTAGGAAGGACAGGCTGCCAGCCAGGCCCCAGCAGAAGCGGCACACACATTTGATAGCGTCTCCAAGCCATTGCCTAGTTCACGTAGGACACTGCAAAGCAGGGCACGCAGCCCCGGCCCACAGCTCGGTGGGGACAGCCTGGGACACACCATGACCGTGGCGGTGAGGTGGGGAGAGCAAGTCCACAGGGATATGGACAGGGTGCTGTGAGGGGGGAGGGTGGGTGGGGAGGAAAGTGTCATGGGAGTGATGGGAGAGGGTCTGCAGGGATGCACCTGAGTTTGCTGGGAGACAGGAGAGGCCTGGGAGGAGGCAGGGCACCTGGGAAAGGGAAGTCTGGTGACAAAGACGAGAGGTGGAGTGTGGTGAGTCTGAGGGAGGAAGTGGTCTCTGGGTGAGGGACGGTGCTCTGTGTGGGGCCGAGCGGGAGAGATGGGCAGGGACTCGGTCTGGGCCACGTGGCAGCGCCCTCCATCAGAATCACCTGGAGCTGCTCCCGGTCAGCTGGGCCCGTGGCGCCTGCGCATTTAAAGCGCCGGGAGGCAGGGAGGGAGGTTTCGGAGACCGGGCAGCGGGCGCGGACCGGCCGGGACTGTGCCCGGGGGTGAGGGGAAGGGGGCTCAGACCCCAGAGCTGGTCAGGAGGAAGGGGAGAGGCTGTGAGGGAGGGCCGAGGGCGAAGGCAGGAGGCCCTCCCCGGCAGGTCAGAGCTGGTGTGGACAGGAGCGCCCGCTGGGACGGAGGCCCGGATTTGTCTGTCGGACGAGAGCTCAGCTTTCACACGGAGAGCTCCCGGGGACTCTGACATTAAAGCCAGAAACTGCTGGCGGGGCCGGAGAAAGACAAGCATGAGGGGAGGCCGCGAAGGGAAAGGGCCACGTGCTGTGTGCGGAGAGGCCTCTGGCAGGGAGAAACGCACGTGGACAGGCAGCGTGCACGTGATGAAAAGCTCCGGCGAAACTCCATCGTTTGCTGAAGTCCTGCGTGGAGAAATGTCCGGGCCGTCCCCTCAGCGGTCCCAGGGCGCCAGGGAGGAGCTGAGGAGCCGGGTCAGGACCAGGGCCGGGCCAGCAGGCGGCGCGGGGGCCAGCCCGGCCAGCAGGTGGCAGCGCCGCCCCGCGCCAGCGCCTCCTCTCCTCTGTGAAGGTGAGTGCTGGGGATCCCCCTTTTCCTCCTTCCTGGACAGCGTGGTCTTTCAGTGGCCTGTGGGTCCAGCCTGTGCTTGGTGGCTGTGGAGGCGGCGTGGCTGCTGGACGAGTGGTCCCTGGGGAATACCTTGGACAGATTGCCTGGTGAGCCCGGACTCCATCCGGGACCTGGTCTCCTGGGCTGGTGGTGGGCCCGGGGCCGGGGGCTCTCAGCTTGGTGAAAGCAAGGGGGCACCCCCTAAAGGGGCTTCAGGCAGTTCCTAATATGCAAATAACTCCACTTCCCAACGTCCTTCTGGCTGCTCGAACTGTCTATGGGGGAGTGAGAAGGCTGTTTTGACTCCAGTGTTACGTGGGGAAGTTAGGTCCCCAGGCCAGCCCACAGAAGCCTGCTTATCCTATATCACAGCAAACAAGGGCTCTGAGAAGGCAAGGACTAGCAAACGAAGGTTTTGGGGTGTTGTGATTTAAATAAGAGAGGGTAACAGGACGGAATGAAAATGCTGCTGCTTGTTGGTAGGTGAAGACAATCAGCTTTAATCAGAGAGCGCCAGCGGGAAAGACGCGGCTCCAGGTGGAGCCTCGAAAGGAGGCATCTGAGGACTCGAGAGCCCTTTGTTGCCCCCAGGGGCCCCGGGAGGTGAACACGAAGGAGCCCGGGCCAGCACGGGGCTGACCACGGTGCCAGGCGTGGCAGGGCCCCGGGGAGGCGTTCGCGGCTCTGTTCCGTCCCGGTGTGGGAGCTGCGTACCTCCTCTGGGCCCCGTTTCTTCATTTGTAAAACGGCACCACCCCTGGTCTATACCCTGCATGGGTCCCTGCAGGGGTCAGATGGGATCCCGAGATGCTCTGTGTGTTATACAGCGGGTGGGAGAGAGCCCGGGTCTCCCGTCTCCGTAACTTCATTCAAACGTTCGGGTTTTCCTCGATGGGGGTGTCTCTAGCCAGCCCCGAGGGCTCCGGGCCATGAGTAGCCACCAATGGGATCAGACAGAGAAACAGCAGCGTGAGAAGCAGAGGTGGGAAAGGTGAAGCAGAATCTGTGCATTTCGGAACAGGTTTCCTTGGGGAATGCAGGAATTGAGCTGTAAGAATGGAAGACAGGAACATAGAAGGCATGGGGGATGCCTGCCAGGGCATCTCTTCCCAAACAGGGTTCCTTGGAACCCCTGCTCCTCCCGGTGTGCTGAAAGGGGTTTCAGGGTCCCATCGGCTTGGGAAGACTGAGTGCACAGAGGCCCCTGTTTCTATTACAGCGCCTGTTACACCCGAATGTGGGCCACGTGCTGTGGGCCTCAGGCAGCGGGACAGCCGCAGTACGCAGTGTTCTGCAAACATCTCTGACCTGAGCATTGTTTGTTTTCTGAGTACCTAGATCTGTGGTCGGCAAACTGGTTCACAAGCCACATGCGGCTCTTTGGCCCCTTGAGTGTGGCTCTTCCACAAAATACCACGGCCTGGGCGAGTCTGTTTTTGAAGAAGTGGCGTTAGAAGAAGTTCAAGTTTAAAAAAGTTGGCTCTCAAAAGAAATTTCAATGGTTGTACTGTTGCTATTTGGCTCTGTTGACTAATGAGTTTGCCGACCACTGATCTACAATAGATAATCACACGTAATTCAGAGACCACTAGCATTTACTCAGAGTGGTGATTTTCAACTGGTGTGCTGCAGCGATTTTAAACACATGCAATACCTGACTAGTCAGGAGCACTGACCTTTTCCCCGTAGATTGGCAAATAAAAAAATGACAACAGCTAACCAACAGTGATGGTCTGATGTGCCCGGCACCTGCAAAAAATGTCAAAAATGCTCATGGAATAAACATGGCCACCCTGAGTGACATGGCCTAGGTATTTGAAAACATTCTCTTTGAACCTAAGACAGAGACCAAAGGCTGTGTTGAAGTGACTCTTTATTTCAGTCTTGTAGTCTGCGACTTTGAATTTGGTAATAATACTGGGGTCAAAGGTCCAGGAGCCTGCACAGAGGGTTCCTGTGAGCTGAGAGTTGTGGCATTGTCCAAACCCAAATCCCCCCCCAAGGTCAGGGCCAAGGCTGGGCAGGTGGAGCTGATGGCCTCCCCTCGGTGTCGGCAGCTGGGAGGGTGTGGGAGGGAGAACTAGGGAAGTCTCAGAACCTGTGGGATGGGCAGGAACCCACCAGAACTCCAGACATTCCCCTTCCGGGGGGGGGGAGCACACAGGCAAGGGCCTTCCTTCCTCAGCCCTTGCTGATGGCCAGGATGTTGACCCCGACCCCCACGAGCTTCTGGACCCTGCTCTCCAGGGTGGTAGCCACTGGCAACACGTGGCTGCTGAGTGATGGGAGCCTGGCTGGTGTGCCTCGGCGCCTGCACCTTCACTGCCTTCGCGTCACTGAGAGCTGGATGGGGATGACGCACTGGCGGGCAGCGTAGATGAGGGACAAGCCGTCGTTCCTGGCCCTGGTGCACAGCCCTGTGCCAGCCAGTGTGATGACCAGCTTGGCACCACCAGGGAGGGGTCAGGAGCACCCAAGCCACTGCATTTCAGAGGAGGCCAAGCTATGGCCAACCCGGAGAGATATTTTTATGTGCATATACGTGTCTCTCTAAGGATTTTAATTTCTCCCCTTCCCAGGACCCGAGTGGACTCATGAGTCTGTTATGTGGTTTGTGCTGTTTTCCCTTTTTCCTTGAGGAAGAGATTGCCCAGACTCCTGTAGGGAGCTCTCCCTAGGTGCTGCCCAGGTGCCTCTGACGCCTGGACCCCCAGGCAGCTGCTCTGCAGGCTGCAGGCCGGGACCTAGGGCTCTGCCAGGGCAGGGCTGAGGGGGGAGGGACAGTGCCCGAGGGAGTCCCTGTATCCGTCATTCCATCCGTCATTGAGTGAGTGACGTCTGGGCGAGGTCCTATCGAATGTCAGGAAAGGAACCGTCTGGCTCCAGCAAGGAAGGAGGCCAGGCGGGGCTTTTATTTTTTAAAGTATTTTATTTAAATCAGTTTTTCTGTTGATGTGTTTGAATTTTTTCAGAACAAAAAAAATACTGACGAATACCGTACAATCTGGGCCACTTATATCCTTCTTGAAAGGGTGACTACCCTTTCTCCATACCCTCCCCTCCCCCCAATAACCGGAGTGCGAATCCGGGGAGCAGCAGCAGCAGCAGCAGCAGCAGCAGGAGGGGAGGGCCTGCTCTGACGGGCTGGGCTGGCTGGAGCTGAGTACACGTCCTAGGGGCTTCCAGGCCTGTGCCTGAGGAAGCCCCTTCCCTCCTACCCTCTTGTCCTTCATTAGCTTAACCCCCCCAGCTGGGCCAGGCAGGCTCCCCTCTGAGGCATCCTCGTCACCAGAGGCAGGTCTGGGACAGAGGCTGGGAAGGAAAGGAGTGAAGATGGAGATGAAGGAAGGGATGGAGCCAGGACAAGAGGGGATGGAGAAGAAAACAAGGGAGAAGGGAGGAGAAGGGAGAAGGGAGAGGGAAATGGTGCTTGGGCTCCGTTCACGCCCCTTTACTCAACAGGCATGTGAGGCCTCCCCTGCCCGGGCACTGTTCTCGGGACCCCAGGGAGGCCCCGGGGAGGCTGGGTGGGGAAATGAGGGGTCTCGCTCAGGGCTCGGGTGTCCTGGGTCCGAGGCCATGGGAGCAGCTGAGGTGTGCATGCTGGTGCTTCGTGGTGGAGCTGGGGCAGGTGCGGTAGGTTAGGAGACAGCAGGGCCTGCACCCGGAGAGGGAGGCCTGTCGTGGAGGTGACACACTGCTCTCTTAATTCAAATGAGCAGCCAGTTGCCACGGCAACCATGTTCCTGGTGATCTTTCTTGGATCATATCTAACACCAGCCTCAGCCACCAGCCCCCACGTCTGCCCAACTCATCCATTTGGGACTGAGAGTGCAGACGGGAAGGGCCTCGTCCTGGGCAGCAGTAGATTGGGGGGAGGGGGGAGGAAGATAACTAGCTGTCCTGTGATGTCCCAGGATACTCAGCTGCCCTGTGACATGCTCTCCCTGTGACAAACTCTCCCTGTGACACGGGGGCAGGGAATCAGGGTGTAGCTTCTCTGCTCACGGGGCTTTAGGAGTCAGGGCCTGAGTGCCTGGGAGACTTGGGGCCTCGCAGGGGGAAGGGATGACAGTGTACGCTACTGAACTCCGCGTCCTGGGTCACTGTGAGACCTGGTCGGCAGGTACCTCCCAGCGTCCGCTCTGCACAGGCCTGGAGAACACCTGGGGGTAGTAGATGGAGCACATTTTCCCCTTAGCGCAGTCTCACAGGGTTTCATTTCTGCTACCGTAAGTACCTTAGTTTAGCTATATTGTTAATGAAATGGCAATTGCACACCATTTGGAACAGCCTCTGAGGGCTGCAAATGAATTTGGCAGCACAGCCCGCTCCCAGGAATTACCCACCATTGCAATATGGTCGCGATCCAATCCAAATACTAGCCAGCTCATCAGACAAGCGGACTACCTCGGCCCCCAGCCTCAGCCTGGTGGGGAGACAGCCCTCAGCTCTCCGTGGACCTGGTCTCCACGTCCTCACCGACCTCGGGGCCCACGTGCCAGCCCTCCGCCTGGCTCTGCAGAACTCAGCACCCACCCCCACCCTCGCAGCCCAGAAGGCCACCGGGGGGGACTGGCGAGGTATCACAGCTCACCTGCCGCCATCACAGACCCAGCAGCGTCAGGGACGGTTATGAGTACCCACTGTGCGCAAGGCACTTGCCTGAGCCTCAAGGTAAATATGAATAAACCTCTCTCTAGCTTCATCCTCTCACTTCCGTCCGAATCTCCCACCTCCCGCCTGCAGCTCGCCGCCCGCTGCTTCCCGTGTGCCTTCCGCGAGGCTGGGCCGGCGATGGCTTCCTTCCTTCCCGCCGAGAGCCTCTGGCTCCGGGGATGCCCAGCTCAGGGGGCATCTCCTCCCACCTCCGCGCTGCACAGGACACGGCGCACCCGGTGGAGTGGGCGGAGCAGCCTCGTTACCTGGCGCCCATCGCTCTCCGGGAGCCCGGCCAGCGCTGCATCCTGTGCGGAGGAGGAGCTTTCCTCACGGGCTCTGTGTGGTGCGTCTCAGCCAGGGGCCTCGGACCACATTCACCACCGACCAGGGGAAGTGAGGACCTTGCGAGACCTTAGCTTCCGATGAATTCGGATCCATTGCACTTTGAACTTGCCCCCCTCGGAGCGGGGTCAGGAGCACGGGAACTGGAGGGTCCGCATTGATACACAGCGAAAGGCACTGTACCGGGTGCTGAAAAGCCCAAAGATGAGCCTTTCCAGCAAAAGGGTTTGCCAGGAATCGGAGCGGGAAAGCGCACCTGAGGAGCATCGGGAATGGGGATGGAATTCATAACCCGGCCCGGCCATGCAATTGTGCACACGCGCCTGAACCTGGCCAGGCCCTCCTGCGAGATGTTCTTGCAAGAGTGGATACGTGCTGTGTGTGTGTGTGATGTGCACGGTGAGCCCGGATGGTCACGGATACGTGTTCCTTGTGCTTTTGGGTAAGGACTGTGCCGGAAGCAGGCGGACGGCACGTCTGCATCTGGAGTCAAGAGTGTTGCTATTGGACACACAGCTGCTCAGCCAGTGCCCACGCATTGTCCCCGTGCTCCCTGGGGGTGCCCTCTGGGACCCTCAGTCTGAGGTGGCTCTTTGGCTGAGAAGCTCCTCTGTGGACACGTGTGTGATCTCCAGGCCCCGTGAGTCCTTGGAAGGCGGGCCCTCTGCTGCCCGCCCGGCTAGACCGGCAGCGACGGCCTCTTCTCCAGCTGCAGGAGCTTGGGCTGCGCGGAGATCCACAGGTCTTCCTCGCCCTTCCTCCTCCTCCTCCTCCTCTTCTTCCCCGGGCCGCGCTCCGGCTGCCGGCCCGCGCCCGGCCGGCTCCAGCAGCAGTGGCAGCAGACGAAGACCAGGGCGAGGAGCACCAGCAGCGGCAGCGCCAGCAGCACGCCCAGGCAGACGCTGTTGAAGAGGCCCTCCCGGTGCTTGGTCAGGATGGTGTCCCAGATGTCACGGAAGAAGGAGCTGAGCTTCTCCATGGCGCTTGGCTCGCCACCACGTCCTGGGCTCCCGCTTGGGACCTATTCCCCCTCGGGCCGAGGGTCTGGGCATGCACGGAGGGCACCTGGAGAGAGAGAAGCAGATCGCTCAGGGAACGCGCAGTGAAATGCTCTACTGTTCTTAACGACACCATGGATCCTGGGCTCAGGAAAGGGGAGGAGCTGCACATTTCCAGGGTTCACTGGAATCCTATTGAGGCCCAATAAACAAGACGGATGCACGCAGTTAGTCAATAGGCAGGTGCTCATTCTCGCCGTGCACGCACGCTGCTATGGGCGCAGGGTGTGACAATCGATAGGCTGTCCGCCTGGCACGCGGTGGATGCGCAGCGATTTTCAGACAAAGGGATCGTGCGCGTTCAGCACCCTGAGGGCCGGCTCCCGGCCCGAGAGCTGCTCCCAGTCGCCTCCGCCCGCAGCGTACACTGGGACCTCCCGCCAGCACAGCGCCGCTCCCAGCGCACACGAAAGCGGAGGCGCGGGAGGCAATGCTGATGTCCTGCTGCCTGTCCGAGGGGACCTGGGCATCCCCAGGCTGCGAGGTCCTGGGTCCCCATCAGCCTCGCTTCAGCCTTCTTCCTGCCCCCTCTCCCTGCTCCGAGCCCCCAGCCCTGCTCCGAGCCCCCAGCCCTGTCCGCGCATCCCACTCCCGTGTCTGACGGCACTCGCCATGTTGGGTCCCACCTGCTGGTTCTTCTCCCTCATCGCCCTGTCTGCTCCTGGCCTTCTGCCGAGTATGCCCACATCTTCCCAGCCGGCCCCCTCTTTACAGCGGGAAAGGGGTCTTGACAGTGACGGTACCTGGAACAGGGGTGGGGCCCCTGGATGCCTCCCTACTCCTGCCCGGAGCTCCGCTCACAGCGGGCCTTTCTGGTTGGTTGTCTGGGGGCCCCCTCTTCCTCCGGCACCTCCCCCTCTACCCATGCATCTTGGCCTTCAGCTGTCAGGGGTAAGGTCTTCGAGGCTCCTTCAGTTCCAGAATCCCTGAGTCCCGTGTCCAAGCAAGATTGGAGGATAGGCATGATTCAAGGAAATACAAGAGGCTTCTTGGTGCAAGACACTACCCAGGACCAAAGGTCACATTTGCTCTTAGCCTGGAGGCCGAGAGGCGATGGGACCCAAAATCAAAGCCATTGGCTTTCAGGCTCAAGACCCAGTCAGCTCTCTCACTTAACGGCGAAGAACCTACATCGTTAAGGTTCTTCATTCATTCGAAGAACCTACAAATGCTACAGCAAAAACCAGACCCTGCCCAAGAGAAGGTTTACAGAAAGCACAGGGCTGCCCAGACAAACACAACAGGGGCCTGGAGTGGGAGGTGACGTGTCTGAGGACCCACAGTTGTGACAAACACCCAGACCCCTGGACAGGGGGCCCAGCGCTCGCCCAAGGCCGCCGGTAGGGGGGGAGGGAGGAGGAGGAAGGGGACGAGGAGGAAGAGGAGGAGGAGGACGAAGTGGAGGAGGAGGAGGTGGTGGTGGTGGTGGTTACATAGTGCTTGCTTTTCCTCTGATACTTTAATCGCCTTTATGTGAATTGTAGCTTCTAAGTGAACAACAGGAAGGTGCATTGTCAATGGGGGCAGCGCAGGGAGACGTGGCCCAGAATCATTGTTTCATTGTCTGTGCTCGGGAGCAGGGCCCTGTGGGCACCTGGGCCACAGTGTGTCACGATGGTGCCCTGGGCTGTCCTCGGGGTCTGTGTCCTTGGGTCACACGCTCTATACGTGTCCCATGTACCCAGGGCTCCCGTGTCCTTGGAAGCCCACATGACCTCAGTCCCGGTGTGCTGGCCGGTGGACCCACGCCCTCCTGGTACGTCTCATGCAGCCGTATAAGCTGGCTCCCGGCACTGTGCCATTGGTCCATGGGAGGAAGTGAGACTGTAAGTTGGCATGTGCCACTTTACACCTGCTGGGCATTCAGTCTAGTCTTCACTGCTATCCCACCCAGTGGGCACGGCCATTCCGCAGGCCTCCAGCCCGGGACCAGAGCATGGGTGGGTCCACAGGCGTGAGGGGCGGTGCTGGCCTGGCTGGTTCTGGGAAGTTTGCTCCTGATGCCCCAGGGCGAGCCCTTCCCTGGTGCTCTGCCTCCTCGTCCTTTGTCTTAACCCGCTTTTGGCAAGTAGCCTGGGATGTTCAGAATCTTACGCTACTTGGCTACTCCCCAGACTGACGTAAACGTTTATATTGGTCCGTCGTCCACAAAGGCAAAGAGAGTGACTTCCTGTTGTTAGATACTTTACAAATGTTTGAGAGACTTACAACAGAAACCAGGCCCTGCCCAAGAGAAGGGTTACAGAAAGCACACGGCTGCCCAGACAAACTCCACAGGCAACAAAGGGAAGTGTTCTGAGACGGCACAGTCCCTCGGGGGCCTGGGAATGCCGCCCCGGGTCTGCCCACAGGCCCCAAGCCCCAGGGTCTTGACAGGAAAACCTCCCTGGCCACCCGCTGCCTTGCTCCTCACACCCCTCACCACCTCCCTGGCCCTGACCCGGCCGTGACCTCAGCCTTGGATGGGCCAGTAGCTTTCTGCTCTGTGGTGGGAAGACCCAGGGTGCTTTTCTCTGCTTTCATCTTCCAGGAAAGCTTTCCTGCGACCACTCGCTCTCCCCACTGCGTTTCTGTGGTTCAGAGTAGATGCCGCCTCCACGTGTGTGGACAGTTTTCAGGAAGGTGGATCCAGTTGGGGAGGCCCTTGTGGGTGGGCAGGCTCCTGACGGAGAAGCCTGGGTGAGAAGATGCTCAGATTCTGGGTGGGGAAACGTAGAACTGGGCGGGGCGCAGGGGCCTCTGGGTGCGCCAGTGGGCAGAGAGGAGGCTGTGGGTTGTGGCCAGGGTCCCCAGGGCCTTAGGGTGCGTGTTACTTTGGGGGCTTTGTAACGGGAGGCAGGTGTTGTGATCAGAGCTGCCCTTCAGGAGAGGATGACGGGATCTGAAAAGCCCTGGGAAATGCTCTCAGAGAGCTCTCTGTGCATTTGACAGTCAGTCAGTGAGCACCCAGGGTATGCCCCACGTGGCGTCAGGTGTTGGGGATTCGCAGTGAGGGACAAAGATGGTGGTGTCTGCTATCACAGAGCCTCGTACGATCGGATCACAGAGGGATCATGCCATACAGGTCAAACAGAATCAGCAAATTCCAACTCGGGCTGCCTAGCTGGCTAAACTGGAAGCATGTATTTGAATTATGAGTTTATTCCAATGTCCCAGGCCCTCCTGCCCCTTTGTCTCAAACGCATCCATCCCATGGCACCTGAAATAGCCTTTGAATAAATAGAATTCTCTTCAGGCTTAAAGCGAAGTCAATAATTCCCGTCTGGATCCCTAAAGGTACTGATTTGTGTCGGCTCCACACAGCCAGAGAGCAGTCATTAACGTCTGGGAACCCGGTCGGGGGAAATGTGACTAAAAGGCGTTCTTTATACCTTTCACTCTGAGAAGTCTTCTCTAGGCCCCGGCACTCGCTGGGCTCGCTGGTCTGCAGAGTCTGATTAGTGTTTATGAGGCTGGAATGACTAGCATTCCCGAGCCGATCAGAGTTGTCCGTGGTGGTGCGCTAAGTCAGCGCTCCACGGACAGTTGTGCAGAAGGAGCCGCGCTTTGGGCCTCCGAGGTGCTCTCCGGGGAGCCGTCCTCTGGTGCCTCCTGGTGTCGCTGCCGCGGAGCCGGTTCCCCTCTCCACCAAAGCGGTGCCCACCAACCTGGTTGTTCGGTTGCGATTGTGGGGATTGTCGCCCTGTGTTTCCAGACGTTTAGCCCCCAAATGTCTGGAAACACAGGGTGACGATGCGTTTACTGTGCTTTTTTCCAGACAAACAATCGGACCTCTGGCTTCTCCGGAAAGGACTCTGGCTGAGCCCAGCGGCAGCGGCGCCGAGTGGGGTGTCCGGCCCGCAGGTAGGCGCCCCCCAGGGGCCTCTGCGCCGTGTGGCTGTGGCTGTGGCTGTGGCTGTGGCTGTGGCTGTGGCTGTCAGAGGAAGCGAGGAGGGAGGGGACTGATCCTCTGTGTTTGTGAAGAACACTGCCCTCAGGGGGAGACGGAGGAGATGGCACTGGGCCAGGAAAGGCGGGGTGCAGGGCTGTCGAGGCCCCACGTGGGTGTTCTCTGGAGGGTGTGGGGGGAGGGACGTGAGGCCGTGTCCCTGGCTGTGCTCTGCTGGCGTCTTCCAGCCCCGGCCTGGCTCAGCCGTCGAGCTGGTGCATTCATTTTCTCTCGGTTGGGAATCGCATCCAACAGCCTGTGCTCGTCTCCCCACCGTCTGTCCTTGGGGTTGACGACATCTTAGCCAGCCCAGGTGTCTCCACCTGCCTGCCCACACGGGGCCCCAGCGCCCAAACCGCCATGCAGTCCTGGCAAGACCCCGGTGGTGACGGTGGCGTCTCACACGCCATCGCTGGGCCGAGGGGAACCTCCGCCCGTGGTTAACGCTGCTGCTGAGTATGTGTTCTCGGTGGTTCTCGCCTGGCTCTCCTGTTGTGCTCAGGGGCCCTCTGACCAATGGAAGGTGCCACTTTGTACAGAAATGGTCGCACCCCAGCAAGTGACCTGCGTGTCGATGATCAGGTTTATAACTGACCCAGGCCTGGGCGTGATGACACAGATGCCTGTATCCTCCCCAGTTCGCTTAACTGCTGTCCCCAGAGTATGCGCACGCGGTGTGTGCCAGACGAGAGTGTGCGGGGGAAATAGGTGGTAGTTCCCTCGGAGTCAGTGTGATCGTTATGGTTGATTTTGAACAAAAGCACAAGCTCCTGGTGCGGACTCACTGGAACACCGTGACCATTAGGATGAAGTGACGCTCCGTCGTGTGGACATTGTGCAGGTGAGTCGGTGGCGGGGTCCCTGCCCGCTGAGGAGGAGCAGAGGCCAGAGGGGCTGTGACTGGCCGGACACACGATGGCGGTTGGTGGAGTCCGGCGAGAATAGCTGTTTTCCGACCCCTGCTCCTCCTGCCAGGTCTTCCCACAAAAGTTCTTAAAGACGAGCCTCTCCCGGGGCACAGCGGACTGCTTCCCTGGCCCCCTGCGCCGCTGCGGGGCCGTGAGGGAGCTCTGGCCACG